CTATGAACATTGACTGATGTGACGTCAACAAAACAGCGACACAAAACAAGACGACTGGGAAGCAGAAGAAAAAAAAAAGTTAATTCGCGGTTTCGATATAAATACACAGAATATTGTTAAAGTGATGTGCTGTGAATTTATTTTTAAAAGTCGTTTCTCAACGAGTAAGAGAATATTTACGGAAGCTTTTGTAAACTATCAGTGTAACTGAATGTAAAAGGGGTTAATGTATTTACATTTCTGCTGTAATATTACTATATATTTACAGTTGGGACCTTTATGTATTGCTGCTGCTACACGACAATTTCACAGCTGGTGCTGAATAAAGTACACCTGTCTACCTACAGTATGTCTATCTATTATTTTGATTTTTTTTTTAGATGCATTAAGGCTACCCCCCACCCTCTAAATTAAGACAGATTTTTTAAAATCACATTTTCAATTAATTCCCCCATCATTAAATATGTCCAATAACTCATGTTAAACATTTCTGTGCATTAAACTACTGTAAAAATACAATGACTCACACATCAAGTAGAATATTTTAATTTTTATTAACCTGTTTAAAGTTCATGATCCTCTGGGTGATAAAGTTCGCTCATCAGGCGGTAGATATATGACGGAGCATGTCCTCCAATGTTGGAGATAAAGAGTGTGATGAGCTCAGGTGGGACATAGTCGAAAACAGGACAGTGGACGTTCACCTTAGACAGAATCTCTCCTTGAATATAAATGGTTAAACCACAGTTTGAGTCAGAAAACTGATCTGTGGGACGGGAATGAATATTAATATTTTAAGTGGTAAGGATTGTGTTAGTTACCTTCAGTGAAGGGAAGCACCTCATGTGGTGAGACAAACTTGTGGAACGTGTCCTCTTCATTTGGGAACTGAGGACAGAGAACAACTTAAGTCATCTTTTGTCCGTCAGTGCCGTTGATAAGGGTTGAACTGAACACCAATGTTGTCATACCTGAGGTGAGAGCTTGAACATCGGAGCACAGACAATCAGAGGTGTTGAATGGTGTTTGGCTGCCAGGGCCAGCGTGTGTGTCCCGTTGACAGCCCTGAGACCTCCGTTGGCCAGGACTGTCTGTGTACCAATGATGACCTGAAGGGATCAGAACCCACAAGGGTTAACCCACCCGCACAGTCGGCACAATATAAAAGGTGATCCATTTCAGTGGTTACCTTATTGACCCGAGACATGACAGCAAAGATGGCAGCGTCTGTGATCACAGTCGTCTCAATACCAGCTTTAGACAAACTGGTGGCCATTTCATGACCCTGGGGAGAGAAGATTATTTTCATAATCTTCGTAACATTATTTGTATTTGGTTAAACATAAAACAAGCTTCAAATGCAGCACTCCCGGTTCTAAACAGTTTAAATGTCCAGCTTGTTTTTGAGGCTACAATGAAGTAATTGTAGTCTTCAATATTGATGCCTGCCAAAGATGAAGCTTGGCTTTTAATTTGCCAACTTAACATGTGCAATGGTGATAATTTACATGTTTCAATGTAAATTTTACTGAAATTAAAAATATATTCCCCAACAACAATTGTTTAAAGATGCAACATGTATATATCTTAATGCATGCAAAACAAATTATTCCCATCACCTTAGTATTTGACTACAGTAACTATGGATAAGAACACAGTATGAAGTATGCTCTACTGTGAAAACAAAACAACTGGTAAAAATACAGATTTAGAACAAAGAAAAATTATTAAATAATATTTTCATAGAAAAAGAAATACTTCTATACTACAGCATTACAATGCTGCACATTAAAAAGTAACGTAATCTCCATACCTGGCAGAAGGGGGCACACTCAGCCACAATGACATGAAACTTGCGTTTGCGTGCAGCATCTTTAAGGAAGGCCTCCACCGTGCGGGAGCGGCCGACGGTCATGATGACTTCATTAGAGTGGATGTGCTCCAGTGCCTGCATCGCTATGTTGTCAGTGGTTCCCTCTGGGAATGTGGAAGAAAATTCATAAGTACATAGAATAAACAAACACTGCTTTAAATAGTGGAGATTTGGGTACATCTGTAGATTAATGAAAACATTTAAGCACTCACATGGACATGGACATTGCAAATGCATACATTACACTTATTGCAGTTTTTTTCACATTTCTAGTTGAGATAATGTGATATAATTATCTACCCAGTTCGGTCAACAGCTCATTAATGGCTTCAATGACATTGGCTTTAAGTGCAGCAAAATGCTGCCTGAAGTTGTCCTCGCTTGGTCCACCAGAGGTCAGCAGTTTATGAAGGGACTCCTGCTGGTCTGTCTCCTCACTTTTGCCCCGAGATCTGGAGATAAAACAGTCAATTCAACATACATTTGTCATTTAGACAATTAAGTCACCTGAATTTGGAAAACAAATGTATCACCCTGTCTTTAGCAAATGTTTCATCACCTGGCATATTCTTCTCTGATGATCTTCAGCACTCTTCTAATCATATTACCAACAGTGGTCTCTGATGGCTGGGCTGCTGACATTCTCCGCCCCTCTTTACGGATTATTTCCATCAGATCCCCTGAAGGGTACATAGTTATGAAGGTAAAGGAATAGTCATGGGGTCAACTTTTAAGGCCGAGATAGTTTTATGGTGTTCTTGCAGTGAACAATAATGGAGTCAGAGGAAACCCCCAAAAAAAGAGATGGAGTTCCAGTTATGTCATCATTGATTCAACAAGACGCTGAGAGACAACAAGGTTTAGTCGAGTTCACAACCTAGTTCTCCGGGAACCTGCAGTTTCGCCCAACTTAACTTACAGGTTACAGGGCAAGTCCACAGGTGTTATGCAGTGTGAATGACATAAGGAACGTATTTAGTAAAGATTTTTACAAGTCAATGTTGAACTAAACAAAAACCTTCTTGAGTTGATATGGATTTAAATACATTTTAAATATAAGGTACACGTTAAGACGTTGTTGTTTTACGATGCAGACAGTCAAACATTTAAAGAGCCCGTATGTATTCGTACACGGTGTCAAACCCTGGTGCTGTACCCGGTGTTAGCATCTACTACAACCAAAGGACGGCTGTTTCAGCCTGTCGTACCTGCGTTGGTCCAGCGGGCCTGCGCTGTGATTCTGCGGAGCAGCGCTGTCGTTTCCCGGGCCGTCTCAGCCGAACCTCGCAGCGGTCCAGTCCCACAGCCTCCGCGTTTCAGGTCGGAAAGAAACGCTTCGACTCTTTCCGTCAAATCGAGTTCCTTGTCAGAGCCCGGCATTGTAATGGTCCTAACTGTAGTAAGGATAGTAGACAGAAACAAACTATCAAAGTAATCCTGCCATGCAAGTGTTGTAAAGCGGAAGTACGTCAGATGTAATTCCGGGTGGAACTACAGCGTAATTCCGAGCCCTTACATACATGTTGCACCAACACTTGTTGGTGCGCTCCCATCCGATTGGGTGAGCCCTTACATACATGTTGCACCAACACGAATCGTAGTGGCACTTTTAATAGATTAAAATTCTGTTAAAATGACCTCTGTGAAGTTTTTTTTTTAGTTTAATACATCAATCATTGAATTTTAACATCCGTGACATTCGGTGTATTTGTTTTGGTCAAGGTATACGACGTACAATTTCTAACGTATTACATCGCTGTATTAACAATTCACAGGATTTTTCAAACCTAATCCATATGTTACAACGTTACAAATGTGGGCAAGGAACTTCCAAAAACTTTCTGAAACACCATGCTGAATGCTTATCATTGTTTAGGAAAGCATTTTTATTTATTTATTTTGTGTTTATATCGTTAGAGCAGAAACTGTTAACCCACTCATCTTTACTAAGAAAATTGTACATATTGTTAAACTGTTGTAATATTATTTTTATATAAATATTTATTTTTTTAAATACAATTTATGGTTATATTTTGTTGTTGAGTAAACGACAGGTTGTTTTCTCATTTTAATTCTCATCCCATTATGGCCGTCCCTCAGGTTTTTGATATTGTTATGTGTATCAATAACCCATTTCAATAACTACTTAAGACCTTTGGTTACTAGCATATACGTGGAATAAAATGTAAACAGCAGCATGAATAATGTAAATTTGTCCAATATTTTATTGAATAAAAGCCCAACATAAATTTACAAAATTTAACAGGTAACATAAAAATCACTGACTGCACATAGTGTGCCCATGTTCATTGTTAAAAATGTACCCATGACAGATGCTTCAATTATCCCGTGTCCAAAAACAACCAAAACAGTAGCAACTCCCCACATCCTCATGTAACCCAAGCCTCAGAAGTATTTAGGAAGCAGAAACACACTGAACAGATCTACTAGAAATTGGAAGTTATATGGGTGAAAATCTATACTAAACATGGTATTAAGTAAAGTGTACGCTGTCTGAAAACACACTTAACATTTGGAGTTAAAAGCTCTGTTCATCACTAGTTGGCCAGAAAAAAAAGCAGAAAATTATGTTTTTGGTTTTGTTTACTTTTGATTGGTGTAAAATTAACATTCAGAATTACTACAACAAAAGTACAATGTGCAAGAGCTTGAAGTGACCTAATTTATAACTTATAGAATTTTACACCCAGATTTTGCAACTCCCCCTCTAACCCTCCCCCCCCAAAAAAACTGTTTAGAAGCAACTAAAGAAGCATTTACAGTATGAAAAAAAAAAAACTACAGACTCAGTTCAATTCAGCTACCAAAGATGGAGGCAAATTAAGCCACATAAATAAAGGAGTTCAGTGGTTGCCAATTATCTCCTCTAAACCCCGTTTCTCCCCCCAAAACAGCCTTCACTTGATCAAAAAGGTCGAAGATCTAGGTTTGCATGGTGTGGCAAAGAATGTGTACATCAACAGAAGAGCGGGAAGACATTCACTCATGGCACATCCATTCAAACTGATCTCAAAAATTCAAAATTGTCACTGTTCAACGGATTAAAGGAACAAGTTCTTATTCAGTGAGCTGCAACATTTAAAACAGTGCAGACAGAAAGGTGAAGCATCACGGGGACAGACATCTCACACATGCAGTGTTACGTATGTCCCCCATGTCTCACAATGTGTTTCTCCCTACAGCGCTTTTCATGTTTCAAATCCCTAAATAAGCAGGTGAATCTTGTTGTTTTCTGTTTTCCAAAGGACAACCTCGGGACTCTCTCTTATAACCTTGAAATCTAGATTCTGAATCCCCTTGGCCCCACTTCCTGTTTGTTATCGCTAGTCCAAGGAGGGTTGGATGTTGGGATGTGTTAGCTGAGCAGTGAATAGCTCCTCCCCCTCAGAGGTAAGAAGCTGACAGCTGCTCTACTCGATCAGCTTCTTGGCCTTGAAGAAGCGCCGCAGGTAGAAGACCTGCCATGTAGCCAGACCGATGAGACAGCACATGGAGAATATGCTAAAGTACAGCACACGTGTGTTGGTGGACTCTGGAAAGTGGTGAAACAAAGAACACGTTACATTCACTATTCACCAAATATATAGATTAAAAGAAAATAGATTTTTTATATAACCTTTTATCCTTAGTTTTGCTTATATTTTATCTTTAACAGGAAATTCATGGACAATTTCTAGGTTTTCCAGTCGCAATTAGCCAGTCGTGACTCACCATTGGTGTCCCTCATCTCTTCCTCTCTCTTTTTCATGTAGGCAAAGTCGTTGACAATGGACTCTGACAGGTCCTCCAGTCGTCTCAGCTCAACCTCCAGAGGCTTCAACTTCTCCACCTTGGCAATCTAAAGGGAAGACAGAACGCTTCAGGGTAAGAAGAGTAATGACAGCGTTGTAACACACTGCGTCCAGCAGGTGTCAGGCCTAGCCATGGGAACCCATCGTGTTGAAGCCACCTGTGTTTGGCCACGTACACTATTGACTAAGATGATGAGAATGAGGACATCTGGAAACAGCTGCGCGCACGCGCACACACACACAGACAAAACAACCACACGCTAAAGAAAATGTGGCTAATAAAGGTTAGTGCCTAGACATGGATGAACTACTGAAAATCAACATATTCGAGTTGATGAAGGTGATGATGGTTCACATATCAAGGTTAGGTTTCTTTTCCATTGTGAAGTGCAGCAATTGATCTTTAAGTTATTATTAACATCAACAGGTTTGAACTATGTTCATTGCAAAAATGTCTACATTAACCCCAACAACCTGCTGTCAGTAGAGAAAATGAGCTCTGTGATTCATGGACAGACAGTAAAACAATGTTGTTCAAAGTAAAGAAAGCTGAAGGTGAAACTTTCTTCATTAGGGCAAAATAAACAAATCACACCGTGGCCAAACCTGCTACAAGTTACACACCCATCTGTATTGTTTACAAAGTTTGCACATCCCTGCCAAAATGTCAGTAAGTCAATGTTAGTAAGTAAACCACTGACAAACATAGTTATTATGACATATGTATTAAAGTGATGTGATACACAACCTTTTCACACAAGATGTGCCTCTGTAATGTATTTACCAATAATAAATACATCAAAATATTGTACTACTACTACTACTACTACTACAAATAAAGCTACTCCTGATGGAAGTATTTACGTTCAGCTGTTGTAAAAAGTTAAAAACTAAAAAAAAGTTGATTGATAAGTTGATGAAAAATTCAGAATTACAAACAAACAGTTAAACATACCTTAAAGTCAAAACAAAACAAAAGCAACAACAGAGAATGATTTTAATGACAGTTTTTCCATCACTGCATACAATAACTGATGCAGGAAACAAGTTGGTGTTAACTGTTCAAATCCACTGCATGTTAGGTCAATGTGCCCACCGCATGGATCACTCACATCCACCCACAGACAGAGAGACACATACGCACAGACACGCTCAGCAGAAGAGAGCGTCATGTTCAGTGTAGCATGTGTGGGAGAAAGGCCGATTCTCAGTTCACAGGCTTTAGCACTTATTGGGACGTGTTGCCTGACGCAGACAAGTTGTAGAAGAACAAAGTAATGATGCTTAACAATGTGTCCTTGCTTTGTGTCCTCACATCCAGAGGTAGATACTGAATAATTGGAAGTCAACACATTGGCTTTTTGTTAACGAGACACATTTGACCTTAATGCAAGTCAGTTACTAAAGAAAAATGTATCCATGTGTACCCAAAATAATTACTGCTCAATAATTAATAATGTCAATGCTAATTAATTAACATTTTGCATTTAAGAGCTGATAAAAGTTCAGTGTAAAATTAAACCTGATCATTGTTGGGATTCTGAATAACAAAATACAGTGGACCATCAGCTGCAAGAGCAGTGTCTAAAATGTATTATCACTTGATGAAGCTACAGATGGAATGTCATTTTCATTGTATTATAAGACACACAACAAGTCTCAAAAATCTACCTCCTCGTAGTTTTTGGCCTCCACGCCGTGTTTCATGTCCAGATTGACCAACTGGTCTGGGACTCTGCCAGAGCCTGTTGAGAAAAGATCAGACATTTTAAACACTGAACACAATATCTCCAATAAGGGAGAAGATTTCTTAATCAACCAATAACTATGAAAGCATTTCTCTATATTAACACAACCATTACCAACACATTTGTTTAGCAAAAAAAGACATTGAGACACTTTTCATAAATCAATATCTAGCAGAATGTATGTAAAAAATTAGTTTTGACCATGATAAAGACATTTTTTATGTGCCTAATAACAGCTTGCTGTCAGTCTGTCTGTTGTTTTGGATTAATGGGGCTGTTCGTGAACACACTTACCCAAAGGCGATTTTCCTTCAAAGCAAACCTCAAACATGTCGTAGTCCTCTGTGGTGAATGCAAATTTTCCTTTTGTTGCATCTTCCTTTGAGTAAAGAGTGTGACTGGAGGAATCTGTGATCTACCAAGGTAAATGTAAGCAATCAATTAGATTAACAGAATAAATAATAATCAATAAACAAAAAATAATAATTTAGCATAAACATTGGATTATATTCTTGTTAACTGTTTTTCTCTGTCAATGTGTCATCCCAACAAAGTAGCCATACAGGCCATCACAAAAGAGAGTTCACACCGAACTATTGACAGATCAAAAAAAGCCTCTAATTATGACACACTTTCACAATATATCTATCAGCACTAGCTGTTGCAATTATATGAACAATGGGCACAAATACACTGTACTTTAAAACCCAGAGGCTAATGACTCCACTTAAGTTAGCAACAAATTATACGTGTTTCATTTGATGACTGCTGCACATGGGGAAATACATAGCACTTAAAGATATCTTTGACATTCTACTGTGGCTAAATTTTACCAGTAGCCCATTGATGTAGAGCATTCAAGGATTTCCTGAACATCAAAATACAGAAGGACCCCAAAATAGACTGAAATCATCTGTAGTAGGCATTGTGTAGCAACTCACTGGCTGCTTATATTCAAAGACGTTTACAAATTTGCTGGATTGTCAAACTCAAGTAGTTTCTTCAACTTTCATGAGTCATTTGATGCCTAAATATGCTTACTAAACCTATGAATAATAATATTTACAATGTTTTGTTAAACCAATGTTATTCGGTTTCCTTACAAATAGAAACAACTATTATTAATCTAACTTTTACTAAATATTGGACATGAATATAGTTATATAGTGGATCACTGCATCGTTTTTAATACTTAATCATTACTGCAGTAAAACAGACATCCACAACAAGAAGTCGATTAATAATTATGTGGAAGTCTCCCCATCCCCAATATGGACTTTTATTTTTGTGTTATATGTTTAACTAAATGTCTACGTTGCAAAAAAGCATATTTGATCATTGAACCATTAAACGACAGGCAGTCTTTGACATGATAACTGCTAAAGCGCTACTGCCGTGAGCTCGAGTGTGCAGTTGAATTGACGATTAAGACTGACGTGTAACAGCAGCAGAGACACGGCCTAGCTTTACAGCAACATAAGTGAACCGTGTGAAAGAGACAAGCACGTTCCAAAAAACAACAGGTGTGACATCTATCAGAATATTATGATTTTGTACCCAAACAACTTTAAAATTTATGAAGTGTAAGTTGTCCGTGGCACTGACAACAGTTAGCAGATTAGCTGCTAAAACCAGGAAGCCCATTCTCTCCGTGGCCTACGTTAGCTGCCATATGCTAACAACAGATGTCGTAAAATACATCTATACATTCAATTCTAGTAGAGCCGTAAAGTATAAATATCACATATTACTGTTTTTAAATCAATCAGGCATTCACAAAATGAAGCCATTTCGGCTACGAAATTTACTGGACATCGATGTTGGTAGCGTTGTTAGCCGCAGTTTGTGTGCTCACCTTCAGATTCGTTTTCGTGTTCGCCTGTTCGCTTATTTCATACTCTCCCGTCACCAGGACGTCTTTATGGATTTCCTCTCGTAAACACTTTCTTGAGTTGACCGGTAAAAAGAAAGAAATGGAAAATACAGATTCAAAAAGAACCGGTAACAGCAGCAGCGCAAGCCGAGCCATGGCTAACTGTCAACCAACCGACCAACCAGACCGTGCCAGCCCACCAGCGTTTTCTAAGCTCCAACTCAGACAACCGGTCAAACATACAGCTATAGCGCCACATCTGGTCTGGAGAGTAAATTGCAGTTTCAACCGTGCATTAAACAGGACTTTTCGAGCATTAGGTGTCTCATGAACATTTAACGTAATACAGTATTAACACAGCTCATCATTTCCACACAATTGGATCCCAAAAACTGAATGGGATCCATCTGTATAATGCTCACTAAAATATGCTAACAATGTGCTAAAAGCATCATATCTATGCTAAACGTATCATATCTAAAAAAAAATCTCAAAAAAAAATTGCGGAGGAATTTAGGACAATTTAGGGGTGTTTGATTATGTAAAAAACATATTCACAATTATTTTTCCTACAGCAGCTTGAGGATTACCCAATTACTCATGTTAGAGCTGTCCAGTTTCCAGGGAAACATCCTTGTTACTGATCCCATGAGACCAGACGAGAACATGCTGCTGAGTGGGGAGTCTGGCACAAAGTGAACAGTAATTATTGGATGGAGAAATCCCTCAAGTATGGTAGCACACAACGTCAAATACCCTCCAAGAATAGTGTTTTACAAACTGTTCTGCAAGTGTTCAGCTAAAATTATAAATGAAGTTCCCAAAACTTTACCTGCGGATTTGGCTAATTATTTTATCTACAGTGGTGGAAATTTACACAGTTGCTTTCCATAGCAGTGTTCACTGGGGAGTAAATATTTCTCATAGCATGTAATCTATGAACTCTGCTTTAGTGATGCAACAATCAAATGACTAACCTTTATATCCTGTCTAGGCGCTGGCCCAGAATTTATTTTGTCATTATGAAAGTCCTACATTGCTGAGTTCCTTAAATGAGCAAGCATCCTGACGCAAGTGTCTACACACCCTTTAACTAACCTCTGTCTCGTTCTGTCACCCGCAAATAAGGTCACTGCATTGGATACAACACTGTATAGTCGAGTAATAATAATAAGGTCATGAAATTAGTATTACCTATTATCTTATTATTTATTGTATTTTGAAGAAAGACATTTTAAGAACATAGGAAGAGAAAGGTTTTATTAAAATCCCTGCATGTTCCCTTTAGCAAAGAGGTGAAAGATGAGATGACCAACCGTGCAACACACATTTTATTTTTTGTTAAAGCAACAGAGCAGGAGACACATAAGACAGCTTACATGGATGTTTGCCAAAATGAAAAAGGAGGAAACAGCATGAGAGTCAAAGGGATATCTCTGTAAGAACAGGTGTATATACAGGATGTTGGATTCAACCCTCTCTTGACAAAAAGGACTTCAGAGGAAGGGTTTCTGTGAAAATTCTAAAACCGACTGCTATTGTTGTCATGGCACTGAGGTGAACTCGGCTATTTCATCATCACTGTGCCCACAGTTGGACCCAAGGAGGGATCTCTGTCTGCCTCCCTCCCATCCTGCTCTCCTCATTTACTCGTCATTCTCTCTTTACCTCCCACTCCTCCTCTCGCTTCAGTTTCCTCCTCTCTTTTCTATCGGGTGTACGCTGCCTGGTTCCTCCCCTGGGTTGCAGCATCGACGCAGGTTGGCGTCATAGCGGTCTATTTTTACTGCTGTTGATGCTGATGTTAAAAGAGGCAATAGGCACCTGCTATTTCTGCTGCTAGCCTGTCTCCCTGGAGTCGACACAAAGGTATTAATAGACAGAGTTATTAAGCTCTGTATGCCTGCACTCGGGGAAGGGGGAGGAAGGAGAGGGGGGAAAAGATGGGGGAGTTTGAAAAGCAGGATTATCTAGTTCCAAGTAAAACAAAAAGTTACTAGAAATTCATCTGTTATGCAACCACATTGCACTGAGAAATCAAAGGATGTCACATCAAAATTTCAAGTTTGCGAGAACAATGTGGAAATACTTTTTATTACACAACACATGCTGACCATTTCCACATTTATACACACTTACACACAATAATTGAAAGCAAAATCTTGTTTCATTTGTAAATTGGTTAACCACATATAACAATATTTTTTAAGACATAAAGAAGTCAGATTTTTAAAAAGGAAATACCTATTATTCAAACCAGTTTAACTAATTAATGTGAAAGCAGCTACTTTATGGCTAACACATAAATCGTAAAGCATCACTTATTTATGTTAAATCTGAAGAAGGGCCTAATAAACCTTAAAAATACTTCACTGGTTACAAAAGAAAGCTATTTTAAGTACCTATTTTCAGGCCAGAGAATAAAAGTTAAATAACAACTAACAAACACATCCATCATTAAAGACTTAATGTGATGGTGGGTTGACATTAATGATTTATGGTTACAGCTGTAATCAGGTTTTAGGGAGAAAAATAAAATAAAGGTCATGTGAGCGTCACCGTCATGATCTGGGGCTGCTTTTTAACCACTGGTGTTGGTATCAGATTATGACATACTATGCTGTATACATGCTCCTTAATGCAGTAAATATATATAAAAAATTAAGTTCAATTTGAGTCCGGAGGAGCGGACAAACAGGAAGCTGTGGAACAAAGGCTGTTATCAAAGCCCTTGCATAAATGGGTGTGTCTGCACTGGAATTGTGCAGACGTCAGTACATGTACTTTTATTGTCTGGTCATAGTCTTCCATTCAGCGTGTCCCTCATGTTCAGCAAACGTTCACTTTGACACACACACACACAATTACACACACTTCCAGTGAAAGAGTATTTAGCAATGTGCTCCCCTGTGACACTGTATATGGTGCAATATTGACAAAAGGTACAATGAGCAACTGAGGTGAAAGAATGATAAACACGAGGGAGGAAAGTCACGTTTTCAGACAGTTTTCAGAAAGTTTCAACAACAAAATAACGAAATCAGCTCACCTGAAATATTGTCATGAGGTTGATGGTTTTGAATTACTGTCACATGATTAGAGAAAACAGAGCATCGCGAATTACTACTCTGATCACACATTTACTGGTAGAACTCCATCCATCCAAGCACTTTTATTCTTCCTGTCAAAACTTTGCAACACCATGGTCATGGTACACCTGAGACAAATAGTGCATCACAAACCTAACATAATAAAAAACATTCCCACCCATGGACAAAGTTGGCTAATGGTTCTCAAGCATTTTCAATAATGTACACCACAATTTTAAACATTTCTTAAAACAAATATACATTTAATATAGTACACAGTCATTTCAAGAGAAACTTTTATGGTACGGGTTTCATTAAAAGTAAACTATGGAAAAATTTACAACAAGATGTGTCACTGTACTGGCATCAACTTGTAGTAAAGTGCCCTACTTATATTTGAAGACGTGATGTTTATCAGGTGCATCTCATAAAAAGGGTATGCAACTGGCATGAGCATATTACGCAACATAATTTTAAGTGGAAGACGTGCCAGAGACCAGCCCTATTTCAGTATCACAACGTGTATTAACTCTGAATCTTGAAAGAAGTGATGCAGGAGAATAAACCACTTAAACCAAGTGTCTGCCGAGTCTGTGCTGCTATTAGCGAGAAACGCTAATGTAGATCACGTCCAGACTTTGCCTTTCATTACTTATTTCTGAGGATTCCCTGGTCCTTCACGTCTGTCGTAATAAATCACACGTACGTGCTTTGAGCGTCAGGGTTATTTTTGGAGAAGTAAAACCATTGGAGAACACGACAAAAAAGTAACACGTACACTGCGGTGGAGACGTAGCTCTCTGCTATTGCTGTAAAACCACTGTCTTGCAGAGACGTCACAATTGGATTTTGCACCATTCGCTAACATTTTTTGCTGCAGAGAAGTCTAAACCGGCAAAAAAAACCCAAAAAGAACAACAACCCAAAACTCTGAAACTGAAGAGAGGAGGGTGTTTTTGGCAAACGCTCAGCTTTCCTCGAAACGAGCTGCACGTCTTCTCTCCGCCGCAGCAGGAGTTGTGTCCGCCTCTATAACCATATTTGGGCAAGGAAGTGACACGTCATCGCGCCGGCTTTGCAGATTAAAAAATGGAAAGAACGCACTGACGTCAGAGTCCAGACGTATAGTTAACCTTGGCAACAGACGGAACAATAAATAGAGCCGCTGGAGGTGCAGGAAAATACTTGTATTCCCTATAGAAGCTATGTTTAGACCCCGTTTTGATGTGTTACATCCCACTACAGATGTATGTCATATAAATAAAACTATGTTGTGAATGTGTGTGCATTTTAGAGTCACAGATTCAATTAGTCAGACAGACATTGCTTTGAATTTAAATATCACTATATATTTTTTTATTTACATCTCTTTAACAAACAACATTCATTTACCCTCTGTGTAAAAAAATAAAGTGAAATTTCATAAATTAAAGCACTATCATGTTTTCACAGAAAACTTCATACTAGGATAGACCGTTCAGACCATGGTTAAGACAAAGTACGTCAGTTGTGTTGTTGTTTTTTTTTTCTTTTCAGTTTTACAAACTTTCACAAATACTCTCAAAACTCCATCAACCAGAAAAACAAACTGGATGAATAATAGCTATTGCTCTGAGCACACATCAATACTACAACAATGTTTTTCTATCTAGCACCATGAAATCATATATCAACTTAAGAAAAGTTACTATAGTTGGTATTAGTTAAAACATGCTTTTTAACTTGCTACATCGGTGTTATAGGCAAGTATAGATGAAGACAAATAAAATCATAAATAATTGAATTTTCAGTACAAGTCCATTCCATAGCCCTGTGATCTGCACATCAAGAAAATGCGCTTGGTTGGAAGTATCAATGTTTTTGGAAGAGTCTTTAAAGGGCCAGCAATGTTGGTGAGCTGAGGGAGTCAGATGACTGGTCGTTGCTGCTGCTTCCCCTACGATGGGCGATGCCACAAGTGGCGTGGGTTTCTGCCTCTGGGAAGGTAAAGGCAAAAGTAGAGGTGAAGGTGGTGCAGGAAGGGGTGCAGGTGACCACAGGGGTGCAGAGCGGCTCAAAGTCGTTGTTGCTGGTTGAGGCATGAAGAGGCTCCCAGTCTTGTGTTGTGTACAGAGAGTTGGACAGGTCAACCTCAGGCACTGACCTCGCCGTCTCCATCTCTGTCTTGACCAGCAGATCCAGAGACTCCTCTAGGACAGAGGCATCCAGGTCTGTCAGTTTGACTGTGCTGCCAGAGACGGTGGCTGTGGACAGGGCAGAGCTGCAGCTGGAGAAGATGGAGTTAGAAGTGGAGGTAAATGTTGCCTGGCTTGAGGTCGGGGCGATGGAGGTCTGTGACTGGGAAGACACCTCAGAGGTGAAGCAGTGGACAGGAGAGATGGAGGCTCCTGGGAAGCTGGAGTCCTGCTCTGAAGGGATTTTGCAGATTGGCTGGTGAGCAGCCAGAATAAACTCCAACCTCTCCTTCTCCTTCATAAGATTGGCAATGTCATTCTGCAGGCTGGACTTCTCATCCTCCAGCATATCTGTTTCCTGTAATTAGTAGAAAACATTAAAGGTTAATGTGGCTGTTGCTGGGCTGCTCTGTTCTGACATTATGAGTACATCTGGATGGAGGATAATAAATCAGTGGGACACTTACGGCTTGCAGAGTGTCAGTAAGCTCTCGTCTCCTGTTGCGGCATTTGGCTGCAGCCTGCTTGTTTCTCTCTCTGCGGATTCTTTTCCTCTCTTCCTCTTCAGGAGACATCTGCACATAAAACAAGAAAGAGTTACAACTCAAGCTCTCAAAATACACATTAAGAAGGCGAAGCACCACCAGATGTAATGCCTTAAATGCTAGATGGCCAAGGGAGTAATTACCTGTTCCACTCTGCCTCTCTTGATGGAGCTGTGGCCCTTGGATGCTGCGGACCTCATGCCTGGTCTGGAGTAGGTGGAGCTGGAGCTGTAAGGGGGTGCTCTGTGAGAAGGGGCCACTGAGGAGACCAGGGGCTGCACCATCCACTGCAGGTCTGGGCTTGTGGAGATGGCTGTGACCGTGGGGATGAAAGAGGCACTTGTCGCTGTCAGGTCTGTGAATTCCTGGAAAGGAATGAGGCAAAGAGGAACGTCAGTGCATGTGGGTACACAAATGCAGGATGGGGTTATGAATGAAGCAGTGAGGAGGTCTATAAAAGCCGGCTGGTTTAAAAATATCCCCGTGATGTCAGCTATGACGTTACGTTTTCTCTATGGAGTTTCCAGGTGAATGAATGAAAACTGCCTCACACTTAGGGGCGCGAGTCAACAGGGTTGTCATGCACAGATCCGTGTATGTGTCAGTATTTATCATGTTGACGCTTTGTCAGTCAGCTTTATGTTATTCTTCAATGCTATTCAAATGAATTCTAACTTTAAAACATTAAAGAAGTAGACATGCAATAGGAGGTTGACGTACCTGAGACTGAGGCGAGCCCATGCTGGAGTAAGATCCTGCCGGTGATGGGTAGTATCCCATGTTGTCCCCGGACGGAGACGCGGTGCTGCAGCGGGAGGAGGAATCACATTCCGCGTTAAAACCGGTGAACATCATCGTTGCAAAATAAGTGAGTTCCGGGTGGGATGTAACTTAAAATTGAGCTAAATCCCTTCAGGTAAGTAAGTGAAATCTATAAAAGCGCTGCTCCGCTGTTGTCCTTTCTATCAGTTGTCTGAAAGTTTGTCTGACAGCTTCAGGAACCCGCAGCGCTTATATAAGGCTGGTGCGGTGACGTAGACGTGGAGCCGGTACTTCACGCAGAACGTTGAAGGGGGAGAGAGTACTAAAAACTATACTTCGGAACACATTACTGTTACTTATTTACACGTAAATGTATACATTAGGCCAAATATAAACCATTTAATTTTTATTTAAATCGTTTCGATCGAATTAAGACGCTTACGATGTTTTTTAACCTCACCCAAAACAGTGGAATATTCCAGAAACGGTATCCCCAGTACGTCATATTCCAAATATGGGTGTATCCTGTAAAGGGGCGGCCGTTGCTGGGAAATCTACCCTCTGAAGATTGGCGGACAACGACGTGACGTTATGTAAGACAACAAACACACCGGGTGTTGTGAACACTGTAGAGTGGGTCAGTAGAAGTACAGCCTACACAATCCAAAGTGCAACAAAGATAACTTTGAACGCACAAAAACGCCTGTTGTGAACTAAAGGAGTGACAAAAAATGCAATGGAGCGCATGATGGAAAATAGTGTTCTTTTTGTTCCAGTTTTGAACATTATTATTGTTATTTAGTCTGGTGATCATTAACAATGTCAAGGGAAATTATAAACCTTTCACCTAACCTTGACAGAAAACATAATATTAAAAGTGAATTGTGATGAAATTGTAAAATATAGCTAATTTATTCACATTATTCAGTCAAAATACATTTTTGGTGTGCTATTTATCAGTAAGGATGCCACCCTGTGTTTTTATTTTCTTGTTTTCTCTGCAAGTGATTAACACATTTCTGACTGCAAAATATATTGTTCATCTAATGTAATCTTTACCTATGTTTTTGAAAGAACATTTTATGTGACAATATGTATATCCTTTTGATGGTGTGTGATAAAAAGTATCTTGCTTAATTTTCCTAGCGTGCAAAACAGTTTCATAAAAATCAAGCAGGAGTACATATCCCAATAGCTGCAGACGCACGTACTTGTGTAAACTTGCACTACACTTACGTGTGTTCTGTACCTCCAGGCGGTAATTGCACCTTTGTGCGCAATCCGAAGGAGGGTGTGTTCAGTTGCCCAGCATAACTGGTTTTTTAAAAGTGTAGTTTTCCACAACACAGTCATGCTTTTGTCAACATTGTTCATACGTGTGGGGTAAGGTCTTCCCCACGGGAGTGTAACGAAGGGAATCCTTCCTGTTCATAAAGGGCTTAAAAATATTGATGAAGTGCTGTATGTAATTTACTCAACGGTTAATGGTTGGTACATGACTCACTTCATTTTACTACACAAACACTGTAACAGACACATCAACATAACCTTCAGTCTAGAACGAAATAATGCTGAATATAAATGTTACATAACAATATAAAGCAAGAAAAACTAAGTTATTATTCCATTTTCAGGAGCTTCTCCAAATTACAATCTCCTTGAGCCGTTTTTATTAAATGTAGCATTTTTTTCAGACTTAGCTAACCAAGTTATTGTCTCACCTAGCCACTGTCTTGTTTTTCTATTTTGACAATTTTTGACTAGCTTTAAACTTTTACATAGCTAACATTTATCTAATCAGGCAATTTTTACAATATAATCAGATATGAAATGCTAAAACATGTGAACACCAGTGGAGTGCATCAACAAAAATGGGAAAATGGTGTTAAATGATAAACACATTAAGTTGGATATTCTTTACTATATTTTGCAAAAATGAAACAAAACCTTATATTGCAATAAGGAAAGTGAACTACTTGTTCACTTTCCTTACCACTATAACGACTATTAGATAAGTAATAAAAGACAGCACCATATCATCTCCTTAATTTATGCCTTGTGGAATATTAATAATAATTATTATTATAACTGACAGTCACTCCCTCAGATATTGCTGTTGGTCAGAGTAAATAAAGTATCTCTTTAATTTTATATATATATATATATATATATAATGCAGTTATTCAGCCCTAATGTTAAGTTCAAAATGAATTTAGGTTAAAAGTCACGAGGTTTCTTTGCCTTCTTTACCGCGTTCGTGTTTTGTTAAACATTCCTCGTTGCCCTAGCAACACCCCGCCCCTTCGCGTCAGTGACGTTTTAAAATTTGCATGGCTATTCAGCCCTAATGTTAAGTTCAAAATGAATTTAGGTTAAAAGTCACGAGGTTTCTTTGCCTTCTTTACCGCGTTCGTGTTTTGTTAAACATTCCTCGTTGCCCTAGCAACACCCCGCCCCTTCGCGTCAGTGACGTTTTAAAATTTGCATGGCAACACAGATCGTTTGTGTTGTCACGACGATCCACTCAACAATAAAACAACACACTCCTGTGGCGTCGCCCGTGGACCAGGCGAGCAGAACGAGACGTCCTGACGTCAGCGAGTCAGCCGTCACCCGCGGTGTTTAGAAAGGGGAGGCAGAGTGTGCGCTCTGTTTCAGGAGCCTGTCTCTGTTTGAAGAGTGAAAGAGGATACCCGACCTGAAACTGTATATTAGTGATTTGTGGACCTGTGTTTATTTGTGTTGGATTGACTGTTGACAGGAAGGGCACAAACACTGGCACACTGTCCTGAACAGTGTGTGCTAACTGTTCAGGTGCAAGAATCAATGAATACGACAACAAGTGTTGCAGGACTACTTAAAGGACTATATAGTGTATTTATCAATAAGTGAGATCTTTAAAGACATTGTCTGCTGTATTCTGTTATTTCATTGTGTATTCTGTACTGCATGGCTCCCTTAGCCGCTTTAATGGAGTGGAGTGGTACAATACTTTCACTTTAAAAAAAAAATTAAATATTTGGGAAATAGTTTTCAACTACCACATTTCTACCCAAAAATAAACCCACTGATTGGAAAAATAAAAATATACTTTCATGAAATTCCTTTAATCCATATGATAAAATGTATATTATGTGTATTTAAGGAGAAAGTGGGGCAGAATAGCAACACAACTATGTTGTTAAACAGTACGAGTTCTACTTCCTTAAATGTGGTTTCTACAACACAATAACAGGGGAAGATATGCAAAATATTACACTAAATGAAAAACAAGAAAAACAAAACAATGTGAAATTTAGATAGTGATGCAAAAAAAAAATCTCTATTTAAATGATAATTATATTTATTATTATTCATATTTAAATCTACCATGTCAAATTATATCATACAATGTATGGTATCTCAAATTTATGTTCACTATTTTTCTTACTTTTATAAACGGTTTAATAAGAAATTCATTTTGTAAAAAAATAAAATCATTAAAATCCCCATCAAAGTCCAACCCACTGGGCTACACTCTGTACAGAAGCAGGCTGCTGTCATCCACAATGAGGCTGATGAAACGTCTATTTGCTTATTTTACAAGTGCTTCGGAGTCCGACGTCACTCAGACTAAAAATAAACCAACAGTCTTTGCACATTCACGCTCAAGTTGCTTTGAAGAAAACAAATCTCAGAGCGGTAGTAATGGGTGTCTGCAGCTATGGCCGACCTTTAACCCCTCTGTCTGTCTTGAGCTGCCCATGCATCCACTGAATGGGCCAGAGCTGACCACCTATAATGATGTTCCAGTAAACAGCCCAGAGGGGGCTATGACTGCTGGGAAGCAGCCGGCAGCGCGGCCCCCTTTGAACAAAGTGTGGCCCCCACTCTGATATTCCCCCTTCATCTCTTTGTGACGCCATCATCTGAGGCCTAAAAATAGCACATTCAGCTTGTTTAAACCTTGTAAAAGACTCGAGCTTGTATAATTGGTGCCAATGAACTGAAGGGACAAGTGTGGGAATGGAACCACTCCACTCTACACAGCGGCTGAAAAGATTAGTACTTCAATTACCGAAGACCTCACAATGCAACAATGATGTGATGTCATCGGTAAGTCACGTGGGGCAGAGCTTTTGAACTTGGATACTTCTGGTGTATTCCACCTCTGAACATGTGTGTCTGTAACCAGTAGTTAGCACATTAGTATGGCCTTAACATTATGGAACTCAGAGGACCAGGGGCCTGCAATATGTGGCTCCTGAGCCACTTTGGCTGTGCTGACTGAAATACATAGCAGGGAAAGAAACGTACCCGTCAGACCACAGTGATTTTCAGGTCAAACAAGCCATGATAACTACAGAACACTGCTGTCAATAATTTTGCAGTACAGTATTGACTTTATTGTGAAATATTGATTTTTTTTGTAAATACGTTGTAAATACCTTCAGTTAACACGTTTATATATTCTTTTCTTTTTTTCTTTTCTAAAAACAATTGTTAATACTTCTTACACATAGACAATGTCTCTTGCTTATTATAAATAGTCTTGCAGGAGCATCTCCAACAATAATATTTACTTTAGAAACTTAATTCCTTAGGGATTAATAGAGTTCTATCCATCCACCCATCCATCCATCCATCCATCCACTCATCCATCCATCCATCAGATCATGTCTTAGGGTCCACAATTTGGAAAACACTATTTTATCATCTATGGAAACCCTGTTTTTTTGTTTTTTTATAGCAGGACCAGAATGATATTTCTTCCTTTCCACAGCTGAACAAATGTGTCCTTGTGTCCACACAATAGTGAGGCGTTTGTGACGCTGTTATCAGTGACAGTGCGTAAAGACTTCAACTTTCTTTTAGCGCTTGTTTCACTTTCTTTAGTGACTGATGTGTGATCGTGTGATCCACTCACTTACTGAGTAAGAGAGTGAGTGTCAGAGTGGGCCACACACGCAGTCAGTTTGTGCGCCCCCCCTCCCATCCCCAACCTCTTCCCTCGCTTCTCTCCCCGGAAACACCATATATGGTTCAACCAGTCCATCCTGCTGATTGGCTGCTTCATTTTCTACAGTCACTGTTTCTATTGCTGGAGACCTTCAGTATTCATATGCAGAGACAGGTGAAATGGGTACGAGCTGATTGACTGCTGGTCAGTGGGGGAAGGGGGGGAAGGGGGGTTGACCAAGGATTCACTAATGCCTGGTTTCAAGACATGGCCACAAATTAATGCATAAAATAAAAAGTAACATTATTAAATAATATATTATTGATCATTGTTGATATTGTTATTGATGTTGTTTTGTACCAATGGAAAACAAGATTCTAAACCCTTAGGGATAATTTTTTCACTCTGTCTATTTCTATATCATGGAACAATATCTGAACACACCATCTTCTGTCCTTCACGTGCAAGGACGTCTCAGATACCAGTGCAATTAAGAGGCGCGTGGTCGTAAAGGGAACACGATGTATGATGCAGATGCTGCATACATGTGATGACGTACTTCATTCATGGCTTCAGACACGGAATGGAAGCGGGGGTCACTGTACTATAACAGCAGTTTGTTTACACATTTGATTAAAAAAAACAACCTGTAAATAAAAGGTGTCTCTTTGTGTCCACTGAACACCACAGATTACCACATTCAACTGTCAACATCGTATTGTTCTCGTTCTATTTTCACCCCTCCTTGTGTGAAATGGTTCGGTCTCACCGCACAGATTTCATTCATAAAATTCCAGCTCACTATAAAAGGCGGGCCTCACTATATCTGCACACTTACCTTCTATGATCCTGGCAAATGGGATATATATAGTGTCAGGGTTGTTTTTTTTTAAACTTCCAAATAAGGAAAAATAATTTAGCCTACCATTTTTATGCAGTGATTTTTTTTCCCAAAGGAGAGAACATGGATCCACACTCCAGCAGTGACTTCGAGTCCTATTCGTCCAGCTGCAGCACAGCATCGCCTGGCGGGGACACCCCCAGATGCAGCGACCAGCGTCCTCCAGACAGGCTTTTATCACCAGTGGACAGCAGCATCATCGAGGTACATGCAGCTCGGCAGGTCTTACCAACACGAAACCTAACAGAGAAACGTGTGTATAATGTTATCGTAAAATCACGGCATCTGTCGTTTTACGACACATTATAAGGATCATACAATCAATTGATAATGGATCAATTAAATCAATAGCTAATTAAGAATTTTATTTAAAAACATTGATATTGATTTTGATTTGATATTTAATTTAATGATTGACAATGACGGGGATGCCAGTTGATGATTACGATGATATGATGTTATGTACGATGATATGATGTTTTGTGCAGTCCCCATTCTCAGTCTTCACCTACATGAATTGCCATGTTTTCGGGGTCTTTTTTCCCCCTACCAGGAGGACGCAGCAAACTCCTTTGTCCCGACAGTGACTGCAGTCTCCACCTCTCCTGATCTGAGATGGATGGTGCAGCCGACAGTCAACACATCTGTCTCTCCTCCATCCGGACGGGCCAAGAGTAGGAGTCGTGGCGCAGCACATGCGTCCAGCAGCATCAGCACCACGGCAGGTGCGAACAAGGCGAAGACCTCCAGCAGGAAAGGACAGAGGAGCCAGGTATGCAAACAAAACTACAATCAGTCGAACAAACAATCAATTAACCAATCAATTAGCCAATCAATCAATTCGTCTATCCACCCATGCATTCACGTGACTAGCTCTGTTTATTAATAATATCCAGTCAGTATCAGTGTAGGTGGATGATTGTATCTAATTGACATCTCCGTTCATTAATTGCTGGACTGACGTGCGCATCCCTGTGTGTGAACGTGCCGTTGCATAAAGTGCGCGTTCACACCGACTCTGGCTCGGGGCTCCACGTTGTTGCAGCAGCGTTTTTTTCTAACGCCTGATCTGCGACACGGAGACACAGCATCAGTGCATCACTGTTTGTCAGCCAGCTCAGCGACATTTGCTCTGGCAGCAGGCATGGAGCTCGGCAGCCAAGTGCTGAAGCGGCTGCACTCAGCAGGACGGGTGATTAATAGACGATTTCTAATTGATTTCAGTCTTCCAAAAAGGAGGAGGAGGAGGAGGAGAGGCGCAGGATCAGGAGGGAGAGGAACAAAATCGCTGCAGCAAAGTGTCGTAACAGACGGAGGGAGCTGATAGACACGCTCCAGGCGGTGAGTATCACGGTTTAGATGCGAATATGAAATCACACATGGAGAAATGGTTACTGATGAGGTCCAGGTTGGATGTGGGTGTCACTACGTCCCTGTATCAGCGTGATTTAGATTTACCCTCGAATGGCATTGAAAAATAATCTAAATAAAAACGTGTACATCAAAACTCTCTTCATTTACAAATATATATATATATATATATATTTGTAAATTATTATTTGTGGGAGCTATTTCTAGTATACATATAGTAAACACATAGTCATAGTCAAAGGCAAGAGTCTTTGTTGTATCTGTATATATATATATATATATGTTGATTTCTTTTCTATCATTTTTCTTCATACTTTGTACTATATGTGACACAAGTCTTTAGTCATTAAAGTTTATCAAAGTACATTATGGGGCAGAGAGCGCAGCAGCAGTAGCACTGTTTTAAAGTTTTCTTCTCCTTTCTTCTCCTTCATCACCTCAGGAAACTGATAAGCTAGAGGAGGAGAAGTCTGCCCTCCATACGGAAATCACCGACCTTCTGAAGGAGAAAAAAAGGCTGGAGAAGGTCCTGGCCTCTCACAAACCCTCCTGCAAGATCTCTTCAAAAAGTGATGAGGAGGACCTGGAGGAGGAGCAGGAGGAGGAGGAGAGCGAGGATGACGTGGACACTATTCTGCAGGATTCTCCGTCCTCCCCACAGCTGCTGTCCATCATAGAGAGTGGAAAAACACCAGAGAGCAACACAACAATCAGAGAAGCCACTGTTGGCCAAGATGTGAATGATGTCTCTTGTGTACCTGCCGCCGCCATTTTGGGGAACTCCAACATCCTCCTGTGCTCCAGTGCAGAAGAAGAGGAGGCTCTGGAGGACTTAGGAGGAGACGACCTGGACGACTTAGTGCCCAGCCTGGAGATGGCCGTGACATCGGAAGCGGCCGCGTCCGTCCCCGATGTAGATCTGAGCGGGGCCTTCTGCCTGCCAGACTGGGAAACCCTGTACAAGTCTGTGACGAGCGACCTGGACTCCCTGAACACTCCAGTCATGTCTTCCAGTCCCACCTGTGGCAGCTTTCGCACAGTGTTTTCCTTTAATTACGCTGAGATTGATGGTTTGGACGAGGACTGCGACGGCCACAAAGGCAGTGTGGGAGCATCAGAGTTGATGAAAGACAGTCTCAACTCTCCAACTCTGTTGGCCCTGTGAATATCAATGAGCATTATGCAACGGGAGCATTATGCAATACTGTAATTGCAATCAGCCAGCAAACAATGCTATGATGATTCTCACGTAATCTTTTGTGTTGTGAGTTTTGCAGCTGTGTTTACCTTAACATGTTTTCTCTCAGCGCTCCATGTCTCATCTCTTCCACTAACTGCTGCAGCGCTCTGAAGCAAGACTCCGTGCTCTTGTCCAATGCATGCAAAAACACGTCATGTGGACTTGGATCCTGACCAGTGCTCTTCTCTCTGTGTGCGTGATGACAATATGTGCTGTGACAAGTAAAAGAAGAAAAAAATAAAATAAAGGTTTAAACATGTGTAGCAGATACTACAGTATATAGGTGTTACACCTTCCTATAAAGTTTCCCATTAAATTATATCTTGTCCTGTATTTTATGGAGATGTATTTTATGACAAAGTTTATTTTTTTACAAACAAAAAATGATTGATGCAAAAAATGTATGTCACTGGAAATAAAGTTATGACAAATATAAACAAATAATTGTCGATTTTCTTTTTTTTTTAATCACTCTCTGATTATAACTGTCTATAGTATTAGCAGTAATAGCACTGCTAAGTTCCAGAACACGTCACAGCTCTCTCTCCGTCTCAGCCTGTGCTCGTAAAGACCGTCTGTTACTGAAGAGATTTCTCTTCGTGTCCCTGCAGTTGTCACTGTTTCTATTTTTGATGCAGCCATTACATAAAAACACGCCGTTCGCCACGGGGGACGGAGCTGTTTCAAATGAGTGGGAGCAGCTCCAACAGCAGGTCAATTATTTATTCATGGTTCCATTTCTGCTCTGCTATTGTCGCGGCCAACCGCTACAGGATTCCACAACAGCGCACTGTGTCCTTGGTTTGACGTAAGCACGTCTATACCGGTGCGTCTCACTTCCGTTGACCATGTTTGGGAAATGCAGTTGTTTTGTTGCCGTGGCGACGGGTGTCATATTTCACGACTGAGGGGCGGCGCGGGGTGGGTCAGTCCGGGGAGTGTTACCGGAAAAAGTCGAAGCAGAGCCGAGCGGGAGACCGGAGTTGTGCTGAGCATGTGTGTGATGGGAACAAGTCCAATCGGTAACAGGAGGGTTTCCCGGAACGGCCAACTGGACAGTAACTGCCCAGTAGCCTGTTCGTGTTTCAGGAAGATTGGGGGAAATGAAGAAAGGGGGCGCTGTGCTTGTCTCCACATCCAGAAGAGTGGATCGGATTTCACTAGTTACAGCATGTACATTATAATACCGTCGACACACGATGGTTAGTTAGCCGTGGTAAGGTGGGCAGTGCTTCATATCGTCAGCAGGGGGAGCTGCAGAGCGTGAAGGGGAATGCACCAGAACTGCAGTAAATCAAAATGCCTCCAAACGTCCCCTTTCATATACTGTATGTTAGTATATGTAAGTAATTTTAAGAACTTTATCCTCTCAATATTTACTATACTATAACATAATAGAATTGAAGAGTTAAAATAATATAATTTAAAGTAATATAGTTAGCAATAAAACCTAACCATTAAGGCTGAATCTCCTGCTTGGTAATTTACTTAAAACTTTCATAAAAGTACAACCAAAAGTTGTTTTGTTTTTTTATTTTACATGCAAATATATTTTTTATAACCATTGAAATCAGATAATGTACTTGAGTTATGCAAAACGTTATATAAAAATTTACTAAAGAAATATTCATAGGTAGTAGTAAGAGGACATATGAGTATCATACAGTGAGGATTCGTCAATAGAGGTAAAGGTAAAACAGTTTTGCATATGTAGTTTTGTATAAAAGCAGCACAAACCAAGGGATTGATTCATGTGAGAAAATGTGCTTCAACAGTTTAGCATTTTGTGCTAAATTTTGCAAGAGACTTTGTACGAGAAAAAAAAATATAAATAACATACATGCTTTTTTTTAAGCACAGAAATGCTACACATGTATTTCTGTGACTCCTGCCTGATTTGTTCTGCACCACTGAATGTCTGGATTAAATGTCTTCACTTAATGACACTTGATGTGTTTATGATACATTTATAGTTTATTCTTCCTTGCAGTTCCTTGAGTTTTTACTCAGTCGTGTGTGTGTGTTTGAGTGTGTGTGTGTGTGTGTGTGTGTTTGACGTCTTGGTACCGTTTTTAGATGGATGATAGATGGGCCTGTCAGCAGCTCCAGTGTCTCTTGACTCACTCTCTATCCAGCAGCACGAGGCTGCTCATCTCCACAGCCTGTTGCAGAGTTGTAAAATATCACATCCTGGATTGTTCACAGCAGACCATTAAGCCACAACCCTGCCCTCTGACACACAGTCTGAGGGGCAAGAGGGGTTTTTTTTTAGGTGATGCCTGTGGTGCTCCAGGAAGTTTCTGCTACGATGCCTTGAGTGAGAGAAAAAGAAGCGACAACACATTGTTCACATCTGTGTGTTATGCATCGTGTTTCCCCTGATCTTTACTGGGGCTCTGTTCACTGGCTGAAATATTATGTTACCACATTCTGTTTGTGTTTGTTTGTTGTCAGGGCTACATTATTCAAATGGATGGAAATATTCAACAGTCTCACGTTCCTACAAAACCCAGCCTGACATTCTTGGAAACACGGGATCACAGCTGAACAAAGATGTGATCTGGAGCTGCAAAGTAAACACAGTGGATAATGTTCTGTGAGTTTTGCAGTGTCAAGCAAAAAGATATCACAACAATACCATTAACACAAAATACAAGCACTAACTAACGCTACGTGAACCTGGTTAGAAGTTTCTGTTAAAATAATTTGACCTTGTATTTTTAGTACTTTCCTACAGTGTATACAACCATACATATACTTTCCAAACACTGTTTGCTACGTGAAGACCATACATATACTTTCCAAACACTGTTTCCCTGTCAATTATATAAGAGCACATGTGAAACATATATATGGAAACTGAAACCTGCAGCATGCATCAAAATGTGGGTCAAAGGCACTTTCCTTTTCTTTCTATTATACTACAGCAGTCAGTCCATTGTGTTTGTAACATGGAGTAAGGCTCACAAAGTAAGACACTTGACAACCCTGCAACTAATCTTGCAAACGTTTTTATACCTTTCTGCTATTTTTTAAATGGATTTCTGATCTAAAGTTTTGTGTTTTTATCAATTATATATTACACTAATGTCATAACACTTTCATGAAAAGTAACAGATTAAATATTCTATTATTAATTGATATTTTATTTCTATTAACATGAAGATAATTTATGAATAATTATACAGTAAAGGTACATTTAGTCATTATAATGATATAGATGGAACTGACTGTGTTACAGGAGCCTAGCTGCACATTGTTAAGTACAGTTGTGCAAAGTTTGGTGACACAAACTTGACCAGCGCACCATAGTTTCTGCCTCGGCTCCTGAAGCCCCAGAAACACCATCGTCATGTAATATGTCTCACATCTCATGGTTACAGTCGCTCTATTCTTCTGTTAGTTGTTGTTTACTCACTGTTGCCACCTCTATTATCTCATCCTATTACACCTGCTGACCACTGTTTCCTGCTCGCCGTGCCATTCCCAGGGAAGTGTTGCATTTACACTGATAAATCAATGTCGTCCACCAGTGGGTCGGGAGGACTGGGTCACCTGACATGAAATATGCATTGGGAGAACAACCTTGTGGCTGTGCCAGCGACGGTGGTGAAATCTGACTGAACTCAAACAATACCGTCAGGTTGTAGTCTGTGATTTAGCTGGAAAAACAAATATGATCTAGTTAGGAGCTGTAGTTTTATGGTAATACTATTAAATGACCCAGTATCACCTAGAAAAATAAATAAATAAATAAAGAGTGTCACAATCGGCTGAGCAGCAGCAGCAGTTTTCTTGTTTCACTCTTAAGTGAAACGATGAATCCATTTGTCAAAGCCCTGATGCAGTAACGCCGGGAGCCTTCACAGAAATGGAAATTTGATCAGTAGAAGAAGAAGTGAAAGAGAGGGCTGATGGGAAGGTAGCCTTGCGTGTAACTCCAATGACACACATTTACTGGAGTAAGTGAAAGAATTCATTTATTAGTGTGAACACACACAACAACAACCCCAGCCTATTGATGAGGACACATCTGTCATGCACGTGCTAACAATCTGAATGGTGATAAAATGGCGGTGGGTAAAAGAAACCAATTCTGAAAAGACATTTTCTGTCAATAATTAAATGTTTTTTTAATTGAAATTTGTTTTGACAAAAGTCATTGTAATTCACAATGCTGTTTTTATAACTTAAAGACAAAAAACCTAATATACATGTATGTATAAACTGGGGCCACACAGTGGAAGAGTGGTTAGGGCCTTACCTTACAGCAAAAAGATCACAGAGTAGATTTACTGGAGCGATGGGAGATCTTTGCATGACTTCTTCAGTTTCCTCCACAGTCCGAGAACACGAAGGAGCACAGTGCAAACTGATGGACTTGAATGTCACTTATTTACAGGCCTCTGTGCAAAGAGCCACAGCTAGTGCGTCTTCCTCAGTCTCCTCTGCAGGCGACCTGATTTAAAATAATAAAAAGAAAATCAAATACATTTATTGGAGCTAATTGTTTTCAACATTAATTCCACTAAACATCACAACAACATATTATGGGCCATATTCTTGGCAATACTCACTGATGTTACACAGTTCCTCATCCCTTTTTCCGAGGATGTAATAATGAAAAACCTATTGCACATTGTTACCATCTTATGACCTGAACCAATTTTTGGAAACTGACCAAATAAGAAGTGCCGCTCTGATGAAATACAGCGTTTCCGAAAGTTATTGGCAAGACACAAACACTCCAGGCACATATCAGCAACTCTGTCGCCAACCTGAGGTAAAGTGCTGCTTCGACATGGTGCTCACGACATGATCGAAAAGAGAGAAGAAAAGAGAAGAAAAAGAAGGAAGGAAGTTGGCATATTAAATGGGGCAGAGGAAAAAATAGAACTGGTTCATAAAAGTCTGTTTGCAGAGGATGATGATTCAGGGTTATGTCTGGATATGTCTGGTTAGCTGCCTGATGTTGGATAAGGCTTCTATGTTTCTAACATACCTCATATGTGATGATATGTTAACAATGTCATATTTAAGATGTTTTTTTTGTTTTTGTTTTTAATCCTGCACTAATACATACAAAAAGGCCAAAATAACACAGGGCACATTTAAAATAAGTTAAAGTAAAAAAAAATAACAATTATTTTTAGCACCAGCTCTGTAGCCCACACACCAAGAACTCTGCATGACTTTGGAAAAGCTGTAAAACCACCAAGTGCACTTCCTCTCTGTTTATTATTTGTGCAGCTTTTGGTAAAACTGGTCGGAGTTTTACTGCAGAGACATTGTGCAGGACTGGAATATACTGGTAATATTAGTCGTATTAGATGTGACTTTTTTAGGCATCCAACGAACAACATCTATTACTGTGTCCGGCTGTGTCTGTGTATCGTTACACACCAATGGTCTGTTTCTTATACAGCAATCTTAAAAAACAGATTAACATGCTCTGTTTGCTTGGTCGGCACATTCGGACTGGACTATATTTTCATGGTGCTGTTTTTATGGTTTATTGTTTCTTGCAGGACCGACTCCCTTCCAAAGGCACCGTACGCCAAATGGAGCAACACCATGCGTGACCGTGTACTGACCAACGGCTGTGGTTTCCTTCTTGCTAAAAACAAATGTCTACCTGCAGAGGGGAACTTCTCCCCCCCCCCCCCCCCCCATTACAGACGTTTATGAAATCTGTCTGGGTGCTGGTTCAGTTCTGCTTTATTAACCCCAAACGTCTCCCCTTGAATTTGTCATCTGAGCTCAGAGAGACTGTGACGCACCAGTCTTCCTGCCTTCTCCTGACGACCCCCCCCCCCCCCCCCCCCCCCCATATTGGAGACATAAATCAGAGGGGAACCAAATTAGAATCTTAAAAAAGGGAACAGAATGGGGGAATTTCGATGAGCTTTTCATAACTCCGCTGCTTGTTCTGGCTAAGCAGTCCTATGTTCAGGGAATTAATATTCTTAATTCTATCAATAAAAATCCTAAAATTGTAGAACACATCAATTTTAGTACTAATAAGACAGAGGAATTTATGAGAATGGATTGCATTTGGATGCCAGTACTGCAGAGTCTCGCAGACTGAATATTCCAGAGAGCATGCAGCTACAACAGCTCCCCTGTATGTGGAGCTAAAATGAAAGAACAGATGAAATCCTTCTTTGAGTTGGGGGTGGGGGGTCAAATTCAACAGTCATCATGGGAGGCCAGGGTTCACCATACACACTACAGCACCGGACAATCACCCGGCCACCGTTGACACTAACATTTACACTATACTCACTATAGAGTAAATAATTAACCTAATCTTTGCTGGTTTTAGCCAATTCTTTTACATACATTTTAATCTGTGAATCTGTCATTTCTGAGGCTTGGCTAGGCTAAGTTCGTCTGAGCTAGCTCTACTAGCCTTGGCGTTGTAGAACAACCTTGGCTTCTTCATCTGTATCAAGTAATGGCAACCCTGCTTTTTAAAGGTTGTATTACTGCCACCTACTGTTTTCCCCTCTGGTTAGCATTTCAAATCTGGTGTCCATTGAAAAAGATTAGACTCCTCTGTTTTTGAGTTTTCTGTTATTTGAACAGTTTGCGTCAGAGCCTCTGCTAATATTTATATCATACATCAGGACCATGCAGTGCATTACTTATGTCTGTTCACAATCATAAACATTACAAAAAAATCTAATGTGAAAGTGCAAACCACAGCCCAGCTCTATGATGTCATTGGTTTTATAAGAACGCTACAATAGGAGGCAGTAAAACTTGTCAACACGCAGGAGCAGCAACAGGAAGAGGTTTTTCAAAGAAGGTTTCTCTGGAAATTCCTGGAACCACCAAGGAAACCGATGCTTTGTAGGTATTGTTTTATATGAATCAAGTGTAAATTTGAATGAAGAAAATGCCGTATACAGCCCCTTTAAATACATAAGTGTGCCAGAATGTTCTGTAGCAGCTGAAATAACAGGATTTGGGCTGTCTGAGAAAAACAGTACTGGATTTCTCTCTTAAACAACTGCAACATCTGGGACCATTCTGTGAAAATGGGAGAAATGACACTGAAGAAGATTTTATAGGTCTTCATCATCTTCAATGGAAATTTTTTTTTACTATTCTAATTTTTTTTAAACTTTTTTTTAAAACTTCTATCCCTCTTCAGTATTTTACTATTCTAATTTTTTTAAAACTTTTTTTAAAACTTCTATCCCTCTTCAGAAAACAGGAAGTGACTTGTCTCTTATGTGAAAAAAAAAGGAAACCGCACTTATGATAAATGTGTGTATCACACAATGTTGTATTGTATAACTGTGGTTCAGTGGTTTGCTGATGGTAAATGTCATATAATTTTTCCAAGGGTTACTCAACCTGACACTGTGACAACATATGATAGGACCTTGGCCTTAATAAACCGGCTGCATGCTAGTTTGACTTTATAGTCAGTGAAATATGGGCAAATGAGAATCGTGATGGAAAAAAGGTGAATGATTGTTAGAGATGTGTGACACTTATCCAAGCTCTACACTAAATTGCTTAATTTCTTTATTATCTTCTGGATGCTCTTTTCCCCCTTCGTTCCTAAAAACATTATATACAATTTATTATACTTTTTTGGTGGAAGGTTTTTTTTACATTTTGATGCAACTTATTTAAGAGATTGTTTTTTTTGCAAATTGTGCAACAAAGCGTTGCCTTTATCACCACAGCAATTCAAATCTACAGTATTAGGTAAATTCAGAACATGTTGCTGTGAGCATGGACCTCAGCTAATGTTACCTGCAACAGAACTGGTATAAGCAAACAGTGTAACCAGCCACACTAGACCAGATGACAGTTTGGGGAGCAATTAAATAAAACAAAAACAATTTTATTAATAGTATAAAAAATGTTGCGATAAGTCATATCATGTCAAACTATCACTCATTATTACAAGTGGAAAGATCCAAAGCACCGATTAAATCTGACTCCTACATGAACCCATGTGTCACATTATTTTACACGATGCTATGTTTTGGTATAAAATTCCTGTCTAATGTATATTTTCATTTAAAATACATGAGTACAGTAAAAATAATCCACGTATTGATGTCCTGTTTATTAGGGTGTTATTGTTGTCAAGGACTGTGTTCTGTAATGAGCAGCTTCTGTGAAAATAAAGCCTCAGGTGAAATGAAAAGTGAGTTTGTTTGTACCTCCTATTTTATTTAATTCACCCGTCTGTGTTTCTGTCTGTAATGATTTTTTCCCCCTCTTTTGTTATTATGAAACCACCCTGCCCTCCAGTCAGTCTGTGTATGTTTTCTGGTTGCTAGGGGGCGGGTCTAACAAGCCCCACTGCTGACGTTAGGCGCAGCACTTCCGCATTCCATTGCGCTCAGCTACTTAAAGGAGCTGATGCAACAAACTCTGGTTAGTCCTCAAAAGCCTACATCAGACTGTCGGATCCCGCACCGTCCCGCATCAGCACTGCGGACTTTGGACGCCTTATAGGTGAGTGTGAATAAAAAGGCCAGTTTGTGAGCTAATGTGGTTATAACATTTTGTGTACTCCTAAATATTACCTTAATGTTGCTAACGGTTCTTGTATTGATGCATTTTGTGATTTCTTAAGTCACTACATTGTGCACAATTAAGTTTACGTTTAATATTTAGTCCTACACAAGTCTATTAACCTCCGGACGCAGATATACGTATATATAATTTTACAGTTATTCCAGAGCTGGACTGGACATTTACCCCTATTCGCACCGCAGAAGTCACTTTGCTCTAGTAGCTACGATGTTGTTACAACTGTTGTAGCAACTGTCACTTAACGGCTCGTTATTTACAGAGTATATTGCAGCCGAGTTTCTCTGCAGCTTCTGTCGGACTGAATGGTATTTTCATCTCGGTGTCCTGTAGCCCCGTAGACATAGTTATGCAACACTACACGCTTCACTCAGTGTTTTCAAAGCGGCTAAAGCTCCCGCTTTGCTAGCGTTGATGCGGTCAGACGAAGCCCACTGACCATGCGAGGATTTCTAATTCTAACATTAACAAACAAGTGTAATGTACAGAATGTACAGCTTTGATTTTATGCAGCGTAAATGTACAGTAGTATTGTATCATTCGGCTGGTTTATTAACATACTTAACCCAAGTTTAACGCCTCAATTGAAGCTCGGAGATGTAACAATGCAACCTCAAGATGCGCAATAACATGGTTATAATAGAACATACTGTATTACATTTTTGGTACAAGTTTATAAATGATCAGAATATCTTATCTATTGTAATTGTTTATAGTTACATTTACCTAACATTCTGCAGTTTATGGGCAAAGTATTTTGGGGGGATTTCAAAAGTTTTTGTAGATATTGGGTGACATTCTTGACCACTGTTTTCATATTTTATGACATGTAATAATAATGCAGACTGTAATTGTCAAACAGTTGACTGTAAAAACAATCAATAGTTGATAATTGTACATGTATCGCTTAAAGACAGTATGCAAAGAACAAAAGTGAAACAAAAAAAAAATCACAATTGTGCAAGAATATTTTCAGTGAAGCCTAGTTGTAAGTACTTCACTTTATAAAAAGTGAAGTGGATTTATTGTAAAGGTCACAATCAGCCAAAGACCTGCTGATAAAAAGTCTAACACAATGATCTTTTTACCTTTGTACAGCGTCCAATCACGGTTGCATCATTGACTGACGACGACTGAGCCGTTTTCTCTGAGTAAGTCCTTTGTCCATGTGAAACTGTTTAGAAAAGAATGTAAAAACACATACTAACAATTTAAATGACATGATCAAAAAGAAAGTAGATGCCTACTCTGAGCTCGGGCATTCTTATATTTGTCATCTTTTTTCCTGTCATGTGGGTTTTTTTCTGTACTTTTTGTAGCATTTGTGCAGACGGCAGAAAGAAGGAACCTCTTTGTTTCTATCGCTCTATGTACAAGTGTGTGTGTAGGCCTCACATGTGGATTTCATCAGACACCAGAATTACATTCCATCATCATAACAATAGTTGGTTTTAGCTGTGCAGTTGTGTCAGACCAGAAGATGGGCCACATACGTTTGTGAGATTTTTTTTCTCTTTATATCGCAACACTTAGGCAGAAGAGCTACATCTGCTTATCTTGGGATTGTGTGCCTAAAGGTTAAAGGCCAAGGATGCAATGGGGACTATGACAGGCAGGGTGGGTCGTGTGCAGGTGCGTGGGGTTTCCGACGACAAGTTCACAAGTTCAGAGTTTTCCACTAAAGTTGGAGCACGCTCCCAAATGGGTTGCCCACACTGCTCAAGCTAGATGCCACACAGAGGAAACTATGTGACTGTTCTTTTTATAAATATATACGTCTTTCCTTTGTGCCTTGATCTGTGCTTGCGTGTGTCGAAGTGAAAGAGCGTGTGTTACCGAGAGTTTAAATGCCCCAGCGCCTGCCTGGGCACATCCGTCGGATGGTTTCTGCATAAACCAAACGCTGCAGTGGATTAATGGGGAAGGGCCGCTGAGCCGACAAGCAGAGCAGGGCAAACACAGGGCTGAGAGGCTGGACGTGGGCGCTGCACAGGGTTTATTTTAAGTAGAAATGCCTTCCAGTGTGTCTCTGGAGAGCCTGAGTTGCCAAAGCTGCAACACCGCCACACTGAATAGACAGCAGACGCATTGCAGGAGACTGAGCCAACTATGCAACAGCTAGACTCAGTGATACTAATACTAATGCTAGGGGGAACAGCTATTCACTGCTGTGGGTATCACATTATCAGTAAAACACTGTAGTAACAACGTGTAGAAAAGACACACACACAGAGGTCTGGGGATCCTCTGTAATACATCCATGCATGGTTATGGTTTCCAGATCTGTTGGGTTTCTTCTTGACTTGATGCCAGTTTTTCTCCAGACAAGAGTTTCTTTGTCACCAAACATCAACTTCAACATGAACACCAATAAATGCAATCTTTAGGAGCAAGAAAAGCATTGAGCTCAGAGTAGAGGGCAGAGACGAGAGCTGGTTTCATCACAGCACACGTGTGCTCAACGTGGGCCTGATGTGGAAAGAGGACAAAGTATGAAAAGGCATTAAAGTGACAACCGCACATTACGTAATTGAGGGGATTGCTTCAACAGGGGGGAATTCTGTCTGATTTTCCTTGTCTGCGACTGCACATTGTCCATACAATTCAAATGATGTGCATCTACAGCAAGAAGCATTTGGATCCACCTAATCCATGTCTGAGACCAGCCAGAGCTGTGCGCCATGCAAAGCCTAATCCTGACTTGGATTTGTGGAGAAAAATAGTGAGGTTGTTATAGTAATTCAATCTGTACCACCCGGCTGAAGTATAGAGATGTTTGACTGTTTAACTGGCATGAAGGCAGCCAAGCAGAACGACAGCCAAGAATCACATAGTAAAGTTTGAATGAAGGCAGCCGCTTCGAGCACATCCGCAGGTGCTTTGTGTTTGGATTCGCCTTGAAAATGTCTCATTATCAGGCTGAAGTCGGCAATAACTACAAAAAAACACCTGTCAAACTTCCTGTTCTCCAGTGTCATTGTGTAATGAACAAAAGATAACCTCCGTGTGCACCGCTCTGCTCCAGCTTAGCTCACTGCTGAGACAGCAGGGCAGATGAGGGCTTGATCACCATCACCATCATTGGCGTCCTTGTAAGGCTTGATGTCCATCGTTGTGTTGAACTACTTTTAGAGAGGTTTTAGTTTGTTCTCTGCGAGAGGAATTTTCACAGGACTCCTTCTGTCTTCAGCAGCCATCGGTCTCATAAAAGTGTCAGAAAAGAGAGAAATGAAAGCTGAAATGAAAAGAAATTCTGGTTTCTGTTGTGATTATCACTTCCATTCTCACACGCGATCACATTGTGAGTGCAACAACCAGGGATTTAAATGAAGTGGCCAGAACAACAGCTATCTTTCTGCGATGCCAATGAAAATATAATTTAAAGTTTGGAAGAATGTTAATATTTGGACTGTTCTTTCCTCGAGAAAAAGTCAGTGCCAACTTCCTCTGGTTTCCACAGAGGATTGTGAAAGACTGTAAGTCAACACGAAGCCTGACTGAATGCAGACGGTAATGATGATCGCTCAGACCTTGGCCAGAGTTTGAGAAAGTGTGCCTTGGCCCGAGCCTCTGTGCTCATTGTTCATTTTCAGCACTCATGTAGAGTCGGAGCTGTACAAGCTATTTGCAAGAGTTTTGCAAGAAGCTGTTCACTGTGTGGGCCCTGCACTGTCACGTTAGTTAAAAATCAGACTTTATGTTCCTGCAGCGAGAAAAAAAAAAAGTGGTCAATTAGCATCTTGGAAAGTGTGCATGTCTTTCCAGCCTTGCCATGATCCAGTAAGTTAAAGTTGAACAGAATGTTAGGACAAAGCAAGGCATTTAGAGGAAAGGAAAAAGGAGCCAGATTATACTTTTGACTTCTGCTTTCAGTCACTGAAATTACAGTGCTTATAACTTCAGCCATTAGTGGGTTCATTTCCAAAAAAGCAGCAGTATATAAAGATCACGTGCCGCTGTTCAAGACCTCCATTTAGTCTTTCATAGAACTCACTGATGCCCTTTGTAGGGAAGGGTTCAGAGTCAATCTACAATCCAATATATATGTATATATGCTTACCACGTAAGACTAAGTGGCAGGCCTGATCCAGCCCACAGGCCATGTGTTGGACATCAGGGCTGTAAGGGAATAGAATAATAGGGCCTCCAGTCATGCGGCCGGGCGTTCACTGAAGGGGCCAAATTCCTCAGCGCTACTAAATTGCTTTCAGGAATCAGTCAGGAAATGGACATATTTGGTGGAGCTGAGGACAGATACAGTATCAGAGCTAAGAAAACATCAGGACAGACTTGTCTGCCTGCACATTCAGCTCTGCATGTCCACTTTGTGACACAAACGTCCAGTTATCCACAGATCACATGCCCTCTGGTTAGTCTTGGACAGCAGCCAAAGCCGACGTTAAGCTCGGTTCCTACATCTCATAACTAACACATGACATTTCTGCTCCCCGCCCTTGGCTTCATCTCATCTCCACGTAAAGCTGGGGGGCGTCCACATGGTTGCTGGGCTGCGCCTTTGTTTTTAGGCTAGTTTGGGTCTTAGACAAGACTGTGGCGCTGACTTTTCTGCTCTGCTGCAGAAGCACAGAAACCCTGTTGCATCATCAAACGCTGACCACTAATCCTGGGCTGTAGGCTGCTGCTGACAGGAAAGGAAAAAGGAGAAACACCCTGGGTTTTTGAAAAATATGTAAAAACACTTTTGACTCATGCTTTCATGGTGTAATTACAGCCTGCAATACATTCATGAGCAAACTTTCCCCCGTGTTGTACAGATGAGACTCCTGCGGGGTTTCGTGTGTTGAGGCTTCACGGGTTGTTTCATTTGCAAAGGGGGGGAAATTTTCAGTCGCCTGTGTGGCAGGTTGAAGGAGGGTGAATAATAAAACAAACTCTCCATTTAACTTGAGAGACATGTTCAACTCCACAGTGAGACACAACCACAGTCTGTTATGTTAGTTTACAGCAGGGCCATAAATCGTCTGCAGTGGTGAGCAGCTCACTTTCTTTTTTTTTTTAATGTCTCATAAATGATAGGCATCTCGCTTCACTCCTCATTTCACCTTTGCCTCAGTCAAAACTACCACTGTGGACTTGCAGAGATTTATGTGATCTGATGTCATGCAGACAAATATGTGGTTTTATGTACTGGCGTGTGTGTCTCCGAGTGTGCGTGTGGCAGAGTCTGGACTCGGCTGCATGTTTCAGCAAGCCTCAAAGAGGAACGAGGGGTCTTTCCCTGCAAATATGTCTGACCGAGCAGGGTTCGGTTACAGTGAACTGAACATGAGTCTGTTTAAACAGTAAAACACTCCTGGTCGTCTGGACAACTCAGATACCGGTCTCCATTTTGGCTCTGAAAGCGATTATCCCAGAGATTCTAAATGCAATCTTTAGTTTCTGTGGCTCCGTTCTTGGCTGTGTGGCTGGTTTGGATTGTGTCATTTATATTCCACTTGAGTTATTGGAGTGCAGGCGATGATGTTCTTTGGCGACATGTTTCATATCATGGTGATGCAAAGATGCAACAATAAAAATCCCACAAGAATGGACAGTTTTGTGTTGCAGACACACAGGCATCATCTTAAAAAAAGGCTTGTTCCCCTCCGCACCAGTAGCCATATGGTTCAGCTTGTTCTTCGACAGCCTCTCTCTGTCTCTCTCTATGGAACCAGGCGGCCTTGGCACACTTCATTCCCAAAACCTCTCCCAGGAATTTCAGAAAGAGAGAGTGAATTTTTGTCTGAGTGAGACTTTTGAGCAGGTCCGTCTTGTTCTTTTTCCCTTCAGCAAAAACAACAGGATTCAGCCAAGTGCAGTGTAAATAGGAGTATACATACGGTGGAGGTTGGGAGAGAAAAGAGAGGAGAAGAGGGAGATGGCAGCAGCAAGGATTTATAAAATAAAATGCATGGTTGGACACTGGCTCCACACACTGACTTGTCCTTGGAGTGAATAAATCATACAGACTGAAGCTGGTGGAAACAGGAGTGGGACGGAGGTTCCACTTTGAGACAGTTCACTTCACAGATGAATCTGTTCGGTCAGTTTAATAGAGTTATTGTGAATTCAATATAAACTGCACCTTTAACCGTCTAACATCCTTTAGCATCCTTTATGGACCATTAATTTAAAAAAAAAAAAGAGTCAGAAAGTTGTTGAAATGTTAAATAAACAATATGGATGTCTATTGTTTTTCTCTGCATTTTTGTAAAATTACAAATTTGTGTAAAAATCAAAACTAATCCACATTGGTTGTAAAAATGATTAACTGTAAAGCAGTATTTATTATTCCCGATTTTTTTTTTTTTTTTCATTTAGCAGAACATCGTCACGAGTGATACACAGATGTGATTTCTTTCTGCCAAAGTGAAATGATACGTTTGTGCTGTTGCACAGAAGTGAGTTCAACTGTAGAAACAGTTGGGAGACCAGCCCATGAGCACAGGGTGGAGTGCATTAGAATGGGGTTACATAACCATGCTTTTTTTCATTACCTCCTCTATGGCTTTTGTAAAACAGCAAGTCATTCACATTTTTAACAGGGGGAGGATGGGGGAGGGGGGGTAGAGGAAAAGTCAGTATAACTTACAATACAGTGGGTCTGTCAGCCAGTCACCCAGCAGCAAAGTCAGCTCTTTTTTTAAACAGTACCTCACAATGCATGTCTTTGTTGGGTTCACATGAGAGGGGTTTGAGCCCCAAACTCTGGAGGTGCAAATTGGCAAAATTCTCATATGGAAATGAAGCTGTTGGAGTCACACTGATTTGATGGGTGTTCATATCGTGTTGTCAGAGTTAATTCAGTGATGAAAAGAGATATGATTGGTCATTACAATAGCCTACTGTGTTAGTTAACCATAATGGTTTTGGTTCTTGAGCTTGTAGCTCCACATACTCCCCTGCAGGACTAGATCTGATCCATGAGTCAGATTCCAAGATTTTACTGTAACTTCACTTATAATAATTCATAATAATAATAACAATGCTTGAAATAAAAAAGGAAATCATGACATCAAAGAGAATACATTTTGATAATAATACCTTATGATGTGGAGTCTGCTCCAGACCTGACAGTGAGCTGATCCTGTCCCTCTCCCAGCCTGTAGTATTCTCCTGATGTCAGTGTGAATAGGACAGGACATTTGAGTTATCACTGCTGCCTGTTGATTGATTTTCATCCAGAAACGTCCTGGGAGGAAAACAAACTTAAGGTTAGAGGTTTTATATATTTCCTACTAACATACTGAACTTATTTTAAATAGTTGCTGTAAAAAAGTAAAGAATTTCTTTCTGCTCTGCATCACCAGAGATTGCAGGACCGGCTCACGTTTCACTGTTCTGTCTCTAACATTTGTTTTTTATTTGGCCATCACAACTTTTCCAACTATTGGTCTCACGGTAATTACAGAGAGACGTCTTAATTCTCCAGCCACTTCCTTCAGGCCTACTCAAGTCCTCCCTTCTGCGCTCCCCCCCCCCCCCCCCCCTCTTCCTGCCTGATTGCGTTTAAAAGTGCTGCGGTCAAATCCTCCAAACTGCCCCCAGAATGATGAAAGAGGTTGTAAACGGTGGAATGCCTGAGTCCTTTGGCCACTTAGTTATGGCACAAATGCTAATGGACATATCTTTTTGGTTGCTTTTCACGAGAATCAAATGTCCACTCAAAACGAAAAAACCCAGCGGGTTAGTCATGAGCGGTGGAGTGTGTGATCTGACTGCAGACGCTGGCAGCGTCTCCCTGCCTGTGCAGATACACAGATGAGTGTGCAGCTGCTGACAGAGTGAGGTTTGTTTTCTCATTGGCTGCTGTGCTGACTCAGAAGATAACACAGCTGTCAAAGCTGTCAATGTTCGATGCATTCTTGGAAACGACAACCTGTATTTAAAAAATGTTTGATGACAGGGACTGGAGACAGTTACATTTTCTTTTTTGGATGAATTTCAACACAGAGATGATTATTAGAGTCAGATGCAAAATGATAAAGGATGAAGGCTACAATTGTACAACGATGTTTGGCCAAAGTAGAATTATACTGCGAGAATTTCCTAACCATTTCCACTCTTTTCTCTGTCTTCACAGAGGTGGTGGTGGCCGGGTTGGACATGATGCCCGGACAGATACCTGACCCTTCACTGGCGGCGGGCTCTCTGCCCAGTCTGGGCCCGCTGGCGGGCATCTCGGCCACTACACTCACCGATCAACTCAAGCTGGCTGACTTCCGCCAGCTAGGAACCATGTTGTCCCCTCTACATTTCCTGGGGAGGCTGGGGAAGAGGCCCCTGTCCATCAAGACAGAGGTGAGGAGGAAAAAAAACCCTGGTGTAGATGAATGACTTCAATCAGAGCACATGACAAAAAAGAACAGTCTTTTCTCACCAAATTTCAACGTCCTTTTCTCGTAATACTTCCTCCAAAGTCGTGATTACATCTGGAAAAACAGAAATAAACATTTAGGATGGAGACAATGATGTTGCCATTGAATATTGACTGTGGTTAAGCACTTATCGTTAAAAGCTTTGTAGGAATTAGCTTCATATATAAACCAAACTGGTCACTTCTGAGGATGCTGGAACATTCCCACTGATGTTAATGCAGTCTCAGACTGCCACAAAGTGAAGGTCCAGGTCTTATACTTGGTCTTTGATCATTCCATGCCACTGAGGGAGGTCACATTCTGTCCCCCTAGAGGTGATTCTGAGCAAAGCAACAAAGAGAGGGAAAATAAGTGGAAACTGCGGTGTTCTTATCATAGTCTATGATCCCTTCACATATTGGTCCTAAACAGTTGTGGGTGTGTCATAACATCTTTTATTCCCATGCATATGGCTACAATAAAATGTTAGGAATGCACTCAGTCAATTTTATGTGGACTTTATAAAGTGCTGTGACAGTGCAGTAAAAAGACTTTGCCCCCTCTTGTGCCTGAAACAAGAACAACCAGAGGTTGGTGGAGGTTAATCACCAGAGTTTGTTAAACATTGTTTCGTCTGTCACATGATACAATCTCTTATATATTGAGCTCATGTGAAAAAATTCTTTAATGTGGATAAAAAAAGCAAGCAAGTTTTGAACAAGGCCTGTCTGTGCTCATAGATGGATGAAGATGAAGAAAGAAGGAAACGGAGGCGAGAAAAGAACAAAGTGGCAGCAGCACGATGCCGAAACAAAAAGAAGGAACGGACCGACTTCCTCCAAAGGGTGAGTTGATGACTCAGCACTTTAAACTATACGTGACCAAAAGCCACAAATGTTCAGATTTCTCAGCAACACTGGTTTATTTGCAATCAGGGATATTTAACTAAACCACAAATCATTTCTCTCTCTTCAGAAGAATCTGATGATAAAGGTTAATAACTTTTGATTTTTTGATATCTGTGCAGGAATCAGAGCGTCTAGAAATGGTGAACTCTGAGCTGAAGGCTCAGATCGAGGAGCTCCGAATGGAGAGACAGCAGCTAATGGTGATGCTCAACCTTCACAGGCCCACCTGCATCGTGAGGACCGACAGTGTGAAAACACCAGAGAGTGAAGCCAACCCTCTGCTGGAGCAGCTGTCCTCTGAGGCCAAGTGAAAAGTGAGAAACCCAGGGATCCACGCGACCCCGAAAAAGAAACATGGCACCACCTTAAATTGAATTGACATTACATTTCTACAAAGAAAACAAAAGCACTTGAGCTCCGAGCTGGACATTTTGGAGACTCTGCCCAAGAAGCTGGGGATTGTAGAGCATCCTAAACACTGCTACAGGAGCTGGCTCTGTGCAAAGGAAGCCTGGAAGAGTGCAGTCTTCCAACAGCCAGCATTAAGGGCCATTGGTCACACTTAATGCACTGTGCCTCGTTGTTACATCAACCATCTCTACGTGAACAAAGGGACCAATGTCTACCATCTAGTACAGCTGGAGCCATCACTGAGGAAACACACTAACATCAACACGGTGCTCTCTTCCAAAAGCCCCAAGTGTAAATTGTGTGGCACTTTTTTTTTTCAGTGAAGAGACTCTACAGTTTTCCTTTGTATGCAAGTCAAATTATACCAGTATAGAGTTTATAGGATACAACAAACAAGTTCACAGGATGGATTGGAGTTTTTTCCCGTTTGGTTTTTGTAACGTAGATTCCTATACCCTGCCTTGACGATGGCAGACACCGGTTGATCCGATTTGTGGTGACGCTGGCGTCATGAAATGCACATATACACAAATGTTTACACTCTTGTTTGTTATTTGGACGTTTTGTCTGTCCACCATTGTATTTGTTTTATACTGCTTTGTATACATAAACGTATATGAAATACCTGTCAATCACTTGATGTGATTCGTCTTTTCAGTCTGTCTCTGTCATGCTGCTGCTGTCAAACAGCTAGGCAGTAATTCATTGTCTTTATGGACCCGTATCTGCTACGTATGACTCTGGTATATCATGAATAGATTAAAATTTATTTTCTAAGTACAATAATTATGCCTTGCGTCATTTGTTTGTCACATGCATGTCGCCCCAAAAATAAATGGAAGTAAAAATTGATATATTTTTTTAAATCTTTAATCTTTGTTTTAAGCATTTTGGCTTATTATTAGGTAATTTGTCAATTAACTTATCATTGTGTGAACAGTAAACATTTTCCAAAGGCTGAACTTTGGATACAAATATCAAGTCATGTTAGTAAAACTTTTAAAGCTATTTCAAAGAGGCATTAAACTTAATGCCAGTCACAGTGTGCGACTTATCACCACCTAGTGGTGAAGTTACGCATCGCGTTTTAATATCCCTTATTATTCAGCAGGTATGTAGTAGGTGAAGACATCGCTTCATCATTATATACCACTAAAGTTAATGTAGTCTATCGAAGTGTGACACAGAAAGAAAAAAAATGTTTAAAAGGATAAAAAAAAAATTCAAAATTAGTGATGCGACACAATGGGAAGTTGCACTCGTCAAATCCTGATTAAACAGAAGACAATGCGCCAATCCACAGTCAACATCGCCATCTAAGGGACATTTTGTGAAATGTAAGATTTAAAGCTTTAATTAAAAACCAGAAACAGTTCTCCACAGGTTGTGTATGCAGAAAGGTCGATGAATTATATTCGGGGTTTGGGGCGACAACATGCATACAACCAAAAAATCTTTATAATAATTTAATAGTTGTTTAATTAATCCACATTGCTTTTTTGTGAAAATTACCGTTGATGCAGCTGCTGCTAACCCTAACCCTAATATTAACAACATCCACGAACTTAACTAACCCATTTTAAACCAGTCTTGTACTCCCTCGGCCATATGGGCTGTAAATAACAAGAGGTTCAAATCCAACAATTGAGTTTTTATAGGCTCACCTCACCTGGTGTGAACACTTGACCTTCTGACTCCAACCACCTGCATCCGCCTCAACAGTGCCACCTGTGTCAGGGCCACAGGGTCTTCAGCGTCGTTTGTTCTCTCCTAAAATAATCTTCTGGTATGAACACAGGGCCAGGGGTGAAAGAAAAGGAGAGGCGGTGTCCACATCAAAGCCTTCAGAGGAGGAGAAGAATGGGTCCAGATGGAAGGTGTTGTTTTTTTTTCCTCCAGTGTTGAGCTCTGAATGAAGCGGATTCTACAGAAAACAGCATAAATGAATATTCACATGTAGCATTAGTTCAACAAAAGAAGATTCTGAACGGGTGCTGATGAATGGCAGAAAAAGACGTGCTACTGTACCAGTACACAAGACATCAACAGGCATCTACGTGGACCTGAGGTTTTTAGGGAAACATTTTATTTAAATTTGCTGAGAGTTGCCATGGAGACATTTTTGTTGACAATGCTGTAGTTCTAAAACTTCTTCCAATGTAGACTTTAAGACTATTACTGAGCTCTTGATGTTTAGTTTATAAAATGAACCTAATACTTTCTCAAGAAACTGCATCATGAAACTCACTGAAATTCATTTCCCCTGCAGTGCAACTCTGTGCGCCTAAGGTGGGCCACCCCTCATGTTGGAAACCTGAGTACTAATCAAACTATCTGAAAGATGTGGAGATGTTGGACAGCTGTCAGAAGTCTTTGATTTAGAAGCAGGTATGTAACAAAACAAAAAAAAACATAAATGGAGGGAAGCAGTTTTTAGTACTTGGTTCATCCCCTCAAAGTGTTTTTCTGCAGTTGGGATAAAGTACAAAGCCTACTGTAATGACATGGGTATAATTGGCTAATTAAAAAGACAGAAAAACTATCAGAATAATTTAGGTAAATTATCTCTCTGATGTGGCCTAATGAAAACAAACAGCTAGCTGCCAATTTCTAAAAGGCCATCTTTCATGTGAATGGACACAAAGACTTAAAACCCACGTCTTATTGAGGATTCCCATCTGAAATTCACAGATTTGGCCAAATTTTGAAGACAAAAACAAAACCCGGCCAACAAGCCATTCAGATGGCGACCAGCACATGCTGCCAATTAACATGACCTCCAAAACGCTAATGGAATCTTGAGGGGTAATAAAAGTAAATAATTCAATCAGAAAGAACCCTTGTATCATTGTCTGCCGTACCCCGGCCCATTAGAACCTCCAGTATTCTCATGCTAATCTAATGTTTGTGTTTTTTGTTTTCTCTTAATGAATTCTGTATTTTTTTTCTCCAAACAGTGTTGTTCAGACATTTGTGTAGGTGCTGGCAGGGAAACAAAGACGTACATTAAAAGCCATTGTGCTTTGTGATTATTAAAGTAAACAGAAATAGTGAAGGGGCATCATACACAGCTGCACACACTCGAGCCTGTATCTGTGAAGTGGTATAAAGGGCCAAGCAACCCTCAAGACTTTGCCAGAGACGATCACATTATTTGGAGCTTCTCAAGAGGCTATCGGCAGAACGGTTAATTAGGCTTTGAAGATCGGTCTCTCTCCGCCACAGGATTCATCTGTTCATGAGCAAAACAGATCTGGCAGCAGATTAAATGATTTCACCAGGATGCATCACTGAGGCCTGGCCAACCTGTATGTTCTCACAAAAAAACCCCAACAATTTTCTGGCTGTACGGCAGAAGGTAAAATCCATGTCCAGGTTTTACTTCCAACTGTTAAAACAGCAAAAAAATCAAAGTCACTCATGACTGACTGTTGACACAAAGTACAAGCACCAGTATAAACCATCTGTACTTAGCCGAGCCATGAGTAGCAACAAGTATCTAATTGTACCTACAAACCTCAGTGGTATGTCATCTGCAGCCTACGATCAAACCCTGGACCTCTGGAAGAAAAAGAATAAAGTAAATAATAAAAGACATATTTGATTTTCCTGCATTAAATGTGAGATTTTTAAGTTAAAAAAACAACATTCATTTTTGTATATAAACACACATTTTTTAATGTAAATGACAGCTCAATAAACAGAACAAAAATTAAATGCAAACACTGTGCGTTTCTTTATCTCCACCCTGCATATGGAACATGATGTCATTATGCTTATAAAAATATGCTAATGATTACAAAATAAATAACTGTTCTAAAAGCTGATAAAAACAAAATAAAAATGACAACTCCATCCAAAAAGATTTGGATTGTCAACATGGATTAGCCAGACCAACCATTCCAATGATTTTTCCGACCTTAGCTATTAACAAAGACCTGCAGCGCACTTAGGAAATCTTAACGTTGGAACATCTTGAACCCATCAGCTCTCTGCTTTCCTTTGCTCCGATGTGGAAAAAGTGGCTCAAACAACCGACTAACATGCAGCAGAGAAAGTCCCTCAGTCAAACACTGCCAGGAAAAGCCACTTGTATTTTAAGTGAGAAGGGTGTTCACTGCTTAATGACCACACGAAGAGCATGGAGCTTCACAAAACATCTGCATATGGAGTGGACGTCTTGTCATGTGCATTTAAATTTAACTCAAAACAGAAAGGAGAAGACCTCGTCTTTCCACTCTGTTTGTTTTGCATAGTTTTGATCGCAGTGCGATAAACAGCAAGTTAAAACTGACATGACGAAAAAAAAAGAAAAGAAAACAGGTTTCCCTGGCTTTGAGTGTGACGTAACGGTGAGAAAAGGTGATGGCTGCGCTGGGAAAGTTGCGTGGAATTTGTGCGTTTTTTTTGTGATGTGGTTTAAAAAAAAAAAAAAAAAAGGAACATCACATGTCCAGAAGCAGCACTCGAGGATCTTCCACCACTGCTTTGATCTTCCGCAAAAAGGTGACAGCTTCTCTGCCGTCAACGAGCCGGTGGTCGTAAGTCAGCGCCACATACATCATTGGTCGAATCTCAACCTGCTGGAGCACAAGGTCGTCTTACTACATTCTTGGGTTTGTAATATTTTAAACATAAATGACTCGTGTTTTCTTACCTTCCCATTAATCACAACTGGTCTTTCAAAGATGCCGTGCATTCCCAGGATGGCCGACTGCGGAGGATTGATGATGGGTGTGCCAAACAATGAGCCAAACACACCCCCATTACTGATGGTGAAGGTGCCTCCATCCATGTCTTCAACAGCAAGCTCATTTTTACGAGCCTGCGATGAACAAAACATTTTGTTAAATTTTGAACTAAACAAATGTTTAAAACAACACACTGATTTTTTTTCTTTTTTTTTACCTTTTCTCCAAGTGTATTTATGGCCTTTTCAATGTCAATGAAGTTCATGGTTTCCACATTACGTATCACTGGAACAACTAGACCCTAAAGACGCAGTCAGAGTCACAGGGTATTTGACAGCAATAGGCTTAGACAAAAAAACAAAACAAAAAAAAGTCAAATGTGGTACCTTTGGTGTGGCCACAGCCACACTAACGTCCACGTAATCCCTGTAGATTATCTCTTTAGTCGAATCATCGATGACTGAAATAAGAAATAAGTAAATGTAATGATTACAATACTAATCATACTTGAAACACAGTAAGTACTGTACTTTACTGTACTGTACCAGCGTTGACGGCAGGTTGATCTGTCAGAGCGTGAGCTGCTGCCTTGACAAACGCAGACATAAAACCCAGTTTGATGTTGTGCTTCTTCAAAAAGGCTTCCTTGTGGATTCTTCTCATCTCCTGAATGTTGCTGCAGGGAGTTCACAATAGAATAACCAACTCACGCTTCAACAGGACAGGGCTCAAACTGCTCTCAACTTTCGCTACCGTTCTCTCGCTCTTGCTCTCTTAGTATAACACACAGTAGCCTACCAGCCACTGACCCAGAGGATCGGTGCTTAAAGGTAAAAATGGTTAACTCTTTACCTCACCCTTCCCGCTGGGAAAGGCTTAAGACCCCCCCCCCCCACCATGACCATTAAAAGAATACCTCATGTCCACTTCATTGAAGGTGGTCAACATAGCGCAGGTGTTCTGAGCCTCCTTCAGCCTCTGTGCGATCCTCAGTCTCATACGGTTAATTTTCACCTGCACGAAAGGAGAAAAAGAAAATACAACCCCTGTAAACCCCCAGTTCTCATTGTCAGACTGTAATGATGATGAAGATGATTAATACCCTCTGTTCTCCTCTGCCTCCAGCTGCAGGAGCAGGTGATGGTGGAGGTGCAGGCGTAGCTTTGGCAGCAGAAACCACAGAGAAAACAGCAGCTTTAACAGTAGAGAACACGAAGGACAATGCTGCACAGAGAACTGATTGAACTTTGTAGATTGCAGATAGAATGGATTACCGCCTTACATGTAGTAACATGATAATCAAAAACGTATTAAGACCCTTCTGTCATTATCAAGCTAATTTTTGGTCTATTCATATCACAAATCACCCTGATAACATCAGAGTTAATCCAGGGCCTGGAGACAAATGAGTAAACACACAATTTATAATTATTAAAGATAATGATTGACATAAGCAAACACACCAGGTCTTGTAGGAGCAGCCTGCGGTGCTGCTGAGGGCACTGCAGTCACCAGAGTGGGAGATGAAGGTTGAGGTGGTGGTGGAGGTGGTGGTGGTGGAGTTAAAGCAACATTGGCAGGAGAGGATGCAGCTGTGGCAGCAGCAGCAGCTGAGGATGAATAAGGAGATGTGGTTGAGATGTGTTGTCTTAACCCATTAAGCTGCCTCAGAACTTCCACTTCTGCACTAATGTTGTTGGGAAAAGGGTTTTGACACAGGACTAAATTGTTGGAATTGATTAATTAACTATTATCAACAAAGATAACCTCACCTCCTTTCCGTAGTTTGAAGAGAGGCATCCCTCCTTCAACCCTCCCTCCGTCAGGCACCAGGAGCTCCTCAATGACACCTGCAGCTGGAGACGGGACCTGTATTGACGTCTGGAAAAAACAAAACAAAACAAAAAAAAGCAACTGTTAAATCTACTACATTCTCCATGTTATAAACAGTACAAATGGTTGAAGGAGGATGTTTGCGTTCATACCTTGTCAGTTTCAATTTCACAGACCACCTCATCTTCTGCCACAGTATCCCCCACAGCTACGGCATGATGAGGAAATTGAAGTATGTTAATGAGCAGAATATTGACTTTTATGTTGACATTCTTGAACAAAGCACGTCAAAGAAATCAGTATATGGTAAAACCTGTGTTCAAAACACCAATAGTGAAAAAAAAATTGAATTTATATAATTTGTTTTTCCTCAATCACACATACTAACACTGTGACAATAGGAGTAGATTCGTGTGAGGTTAACTGGATTGCCCAGGGACACATTGACATGTGGACTAGGGGACTACAACAAACTTCATGTGGACCCCAGACAGTCCATTTTCAAGATTAGATTAGTCTTATCTATTGATCAGCAGTTGGTCAAAATACAAACCTTTCTCCCACCTCACATCTCCTTCAGAGACTGATTCTGCAAACGCAGGAGTTTTGACAGTGACCACTTCATTTCCTGTTCAGAGGAATAAATAAATAATAAATATTATTATATAAATACTCTTGTATGGAAGACTTAAATGCAAAATGAAAATGTTATATATTTTTTCATACTGTAAACAGCAGACGTCCTGAAATGTCTGATGTGACTGACATTTGCCGATGATGAGAACTTGCATCTAAAATGTAACAAGAGGACACTTTTCAGAATTTTGACAAAACAGAACCTCTCAAACAGGCATCTTAAGGTTGTTTATTTTTTTAATGTATTTTTAACATCTTATTCTGGCACAAAAAAAAAACAAAAAATCAATGAAAATGTGGACTTACGGCTGAAAGTGTATGTAGAGTCTCTGGCTGCAGACAGAGCGACCTACGACAGAGGAGAAAAGAATCAAATCAACACTCTGCTCATGGTCTCATGATTTACATGATATCATGTGAGATGATTTTTCTACAAGCTGCAGTTAACCACTTGAGGGCTCCTCCTCCGTCATCTCAGCCTTTCACCAGCATTACTGAATCATACGTTAGACGAAGCACTCACACAGGTTGATTATTCATGAGCAGCAGGATAAAGACGGCGGTCTTAGATGATACATTACTGCTGAGGTTTAAACACCTGCTGGAGGACTGGTGGTGGATGTAGAACAACACTTACCTGACACACTCGGCCGCACGAGGACATTATTAGCCTAAGCAAAAAATAAAAGAAGGATATTAAAATGTATGTGCCTTTGGAAACAGTTTAAATGCTGTCTGGTTTACACTGGTTAACATTAGGGTCATTTACATTAATAAACCTACACTAACGAAGAATTAACTGAACAATATAATTCAAATTGTATTATCAATAGCGTGGCCTGGGGACAGGTGCAGTACAAACAGAATAACTTTATGTTGTCTGAAAAGATTCATCAGAAGACACTAAGATTACAGATGCAAACCTTTTGTATTCTTAGATATTACAGCCACCAATAAGCTTCAAATGTATGTCATGTCATATATGTTAAATAATCCAGTTGTTAACACAACATTTAGGAGAGATGATCAATAATCAGCCACTGTTATTTATTTTTGTTAGTGAGACCAAACAAGATCCCACTAGTTGAGATACATAAAATTGCAACCCTTTCCTAAAATGCTCTATAAATGTGTTACTTCTGCTTCAAGTTAATGCAGAATGCTGGATTTTCCAGTGGAAGCGTTCATTGTCATGAATTGTTCTCCGTCTGTCTGGGTCAAGTATGTGGTTACTGAGGGCAGGGCCTGTTGAATTTTGGTTGCCCTTCAAGTCATTTTGCCTGTTACTACGGGTGGCCACAGAAGGGTGTTGTCCTAAAACCACAAAATCCTTCCCAGTGAATCAGCAGCAGTGGAATGAACATACTGGTTTTTAATTGGCAGAACATAAAAATATAACTTTTTATACACATCTCTATATTTATTCATACTACACTTTGTCTATTTAGAGTGAAATATATATTGACTAATGCAGTGAAATATTTTTTTAAATTATAGAAAAGTGTCTGATCTGAATACTACATGATCTGAAGACCACTGCATTGATCTGATGTAGACACTATGTCCAACTAACTAACTAGTTGTTTTGCCCTCTCCAAATGTAATTTACAGCACCAGCCACAGGAGACAAAAGTTATAACTTCAGATATCGTGTTTCAACCCTTTCACCTACACACAGCAGTGGAAGAACAGCTGAACATGTAAGAGCCACATACCAGGGGAGTATTTAAAAAACTCCTTATTTAAAAATATAGCAAAGCTATCACTTCTGCTAATTTTGTTTTTCTAGCAGCTCGCGTTTTTGTCATTGGTTAGTTGACCAACCGTCGTATTGCTACAAGTGGTTTTTACCTGTCACTGAAACTAGTCTTAAAACGTCGAATATTAGCCACAGTTAACGAAAGAAAGTCTGTTTATTAACTGTTGGTCGTTTGGTGTTAAATCCGGTGAAGTTTTTAGCACGGTTTGTGAAATTAAACATTTTCTAATTTATTGTTTTCTGATTTTTTTTATCTACGGATCTGCAGCACAACATGCTAATGTCAGCAGCTCTTCATAATTAAGTAAAAGTTAGAGTCTGTGATACCGTGTGTCAGAATTAGTCAAATAAAAGTGGACTTTTAGGTGCTGCCGCTGTGTCGCTTTCAAACCCACCTGAATCCACGATGACTGGGAGCGGCTCAGCGCCCGGTACACCGCCCTGGACCCTGCTAACATAGCGCTAACTGCCGGTTGTTGACAGTAGTGAAGAAGCTCCAGGAGCGGAGAGTTACCGTAGCCGTGGGAGAAACCACTGCGTTACAAAGAGACGGGGGGACCAGAAAACCAAACGAACTGAAGAAGAGGGAGTTGCACAAAAAATTTAGAAGTTTTGTCGAATTTAAAAACCCACTAATACAAAAATGACATTGCATTAAATCAGATTTCCACAAAATCCAACAGTTTAAAACGCTTATTAGTAGCTAGAATGAACCACTTTGGTTGTAAAAGGATTCTCCGTCCTGTTAAAAAAAGTAAAAGAATTGTAAAATTTAAAATATAAATTAACTATTATTTTATTAATGAAAAAAGAGTAACAAGAGAATAGACAAGCTCTGTAAATAAAGGCAGAAGCCCCTCTTCTATTTTTCCATATAGACTTTCTTCCTTATTAGCAGAAAAACATCACAAATGGGTAATTTATATTTCAATTACAAACAAAATAAATAAAAGTCTCCAGTTGTAGGCATGGTCAACAAAAATTGATTAAATATATAAAAATGCTCCTTTGTAAAAAGCAATCAACAATAGGTGTCCCAATAATTTTTTTGGCATGTGACTAAAAGGTGGGGTAGGCTGGTCTTGGATTGGCTGGTGTTCTTGGCCACGCCTCCTGGTTTATGATAAGGACGGACCAGTATAAATTGTCATATTTCTGCTGTAGAATACAGTGCTGCGACCTCCTCTGGTCCCTATCATTGCCACAGGTAGGTAGTATCTACTTTGACTATGTCAACTGTAAAATGTTTATATGGTAGAAGCTGACAGTTTTCTAAAAATATTTACTTAAAACAATTTTGCTGGTACATTTTTATCATCATTGATGCTAGTTTCCTTATGGTCTGAATACTGAAATCTGAATACATTACACTATTCATACAGAATTAATATTTTTTTATATTTTGTCTCCATTCTTTACAAAGGCATGTATTCCACCAGCAACATCCACCTGGACGGCTGCACGGCAGAACATCTATCCTCTTTCCCGCTTGATTTTGTATCAACAAATGTTGACACGTCTCACGCATCTGTGACTTCTCGTAACGATCAGATCAATATCGGTACGAGTGACTATTACTGCAGAGTGAAAACTGGTCCAGGACTCACAGACTGTCCTCCAGTGCTGCTGAAGTCAACCAGAGACGGCCCCTCAAAGGGACGTTCTTCTCTTGCTAACAGTTCCTTGGGGCATCAGGCAAAGCGTGCCAGGGTTGAAAATATCATCAGAGGCATGATCAGCTCTCCTGGTATGTGTGACACAAGTGTCACCACATATCCATATGAGCCAGCAGGACATGTGCGGGAATATGGAAAGACTCAAGACCTGCCTTCACATCAGGAGCATATAGAAAGCAGCAGATCTGTCAGTAAGAATCACAGCCAGACAAGGAAGCAGCCTGAAAGTCAGCAGCAGCCTCTCCGGCAGCTCAGGACAAAGGTCGACCATGAAGAAAGAGAATCATGTAATTATAGTAAAAAGGAAACATACTCTTCCTGGAGCGCTTCTACTGGAAATCCTACAGAAGATTCTTTCACAGACTGGTCTGAATTTGACAGCCAGAAATATCAGTGCTGGAAGAAGCTGAAGCTGATGAATTACTTCCAATCCAGGCCGGAGAGAGTCAAGCTGCTGGCAGATGTTTTGAAGTACGAACTGTCCAGAGCTGTCAACAGGAGTGTTGACTGTGTTTTTAAAAATGTACCGCTACTTCAGACATCGACAATAACTGAGTGCATCCAGACGGATAAGCCGGCGTGCGGGGATAAAATAACAAGACTTTCATGTTGTAGAAATGCAAAAGTCCAAGTTCCTGGGATTCAAACTGAAGCTTTGTCCTTGGTAGTAGAAAAACAGAGATTAGAAACATCCAGTCATCTTCTCATGCAGCCCAGATCTGCAGCAGAGCAATCTAAACCTCTGAAACGTTCAAGTCTGGACTCGACTCTGACCACCAATCAGCTGTCGGAGAAAAGCCCTGACACAAATCAACCCCTCAGATGCTCTGAAGACGCCCCAGCAAAGTGTGACACCCTGGACGCACTCTGGACTTCAGTCAAAGTGAAGTCCAAGGTCAACTCTAAACATGTGAGCATCCCACAAAATTGTACCATGTCTGAGGATGCGGAGCCGCCGGGAAGTCTGTGCCTTCCACGCATCAAGATTGAGTCTGAGAGCCTGAAGACCAACCTATGTTAGTTATCTATAATAAAATAGTGAATTTCCCGACTAAAAAGATACAGTTAATATGTATAATAATGCAGTCTTTTGGCTACATTTGTGTTTGATCTTTAACAATAACATATTTTAGGAGGGTCTGACCACAAACCATCTGAAGAAAGCCAAGCTCATGTTCTTCTACACTCGCTACCCGAGCTCACTGGTACTAAGGATGTGTTTTCCTGATGTGCAGGTGATTCAGTATTTTTCCTTTTGAAAAATAAATGTTTCCTTATTATAGAAGTCCACGATAATCTCAATGAAGTTGCTGCATTTTTAGAATCAGAAATACTTAATAATATTTGTTTCAGAGGAAAACAAAAAAAAGTGTAAGAAATGTGAGGATAAAAAAAAACAAGATAATAAAATAAATAATCTATAGTAGATAGTTTATATATCAATATGTGTATTCACATTATTAAAGACAATTTGTTTTTTACGTTATTTTGCATTTTATTCATCAACAGCCTTTACACAAAACCTATGAAGTTTAGAGTGTATGTGTGTGTCCTTTTAGCAGCTTCTCTAATATAAATATAAATATATTTCACCTGAAGTTACTTGTGTTTGGTCCTCCTGTAGTTCACACGCTGCATCACCTCCCAGCTCATCAAGTGGTTCAGCAACTTCAGGGAGTTTTTCTACATCCAGATCGAGAAGTTCGCTCGACACGCGCTGGTGGAGGGAGCGGCCGACGTGAGAGATCTGACTGTGGGGAGAGAATCACAACTGTTCAGAGCACTCAACATGCACTACAACAAAGCCAACGACTTCCAGGTAAGGCAAACAAACAGTGAATATTACAAGTCTAAATGTATATGTTAGTACTATCATTTTTGAGCACTTAATATTAGAGCTTTTGTTGAAGTCCTTTGACCCAGTGCTTCATATTAAAGGTCAGTTCACAGCCTGTTACAGTTTTAAAATGGATTTCATTTGCTTAGAACTAAAGAGCATCTGCAGTCCATACACAGGTAATACCATAAATACTACACGTTATCTCAGTAAACGTTTATACACAGAGCAAAGAAAAGTCCAAATTATACTTTTGTACATTTTTTTTCAAAAAGCAATAGCTATTGCTGTAATAGCTGTAAAATGTGTAGGTAATTTACACACATTATTACAAGACTAATAAAGTTAACAGAGGACAGGAAGACTGTTGTTTTAAAACTTGCAGTTTTGGGTATAAACAGCATAATCTCAGCCTAATTTAACACTAATTTGTAAGGAACAATTGATTTTTTTTTGTTGTCAAAAATTATCAACTTAAATTAATATTTCAGAGCTCCAATACTCCAACTATATTGAGTCTGTTGATATCTGAATTATTGTGAAAAATAAAGAGAGACTTGGAAAAGATATTCTGGGTTAAGTCTTAAGGCAGACACTTCATTTAAAGAGTATGTGAACGCTAGTGGTTTTGGCACTTAAAATAATAATGGATGAATGATAAACAAAACACAAAGGCTCAGCACTGCTTTAACTAATGACTGAAAAATTAATAAAACCCCAACGAGTGCCTGGGACCGAAATTCATTTAAATGTTTTGTTGTCAATTGAGTCCATGTTAAATCAGCAATAACCGCAGCAATAATATTGACATTAACCCTCTTTAGTGGGTGCTGAAATGATGACATTTAACTGTTAATTAAACTGAACCCACACCATCAGCCACATTATTACGAGTCAGGGAATAAAAAGGGGAACTCGATTATGATCCTATAGGTTCTAATTGGGATTTTTGTTGTTGCTGCTGTTTTATTTAAAACAGCGCAGCAGCAGAAACCAAGGTCAAAGAGTAAGAGTGAGGGCGAGGCCTTTCACCAATGACATCAAGTATTTCAGTACATGCCAGGTCTTACAGTAAACTTTCATTTCCAGTTCACCCGTCAATTGAACAGTTGCCTCATTCTTTCAAGTCAATTGAACAGTTGCCTAATTCTTTCTATTTTTTAAAATGAGTGATTAATTCTTGCCCACTCTCAAGGCAAACAGATTAGATTGATGAACGGCAGCTGTTCACACAGTGGGACAACAACACACAGCAGTCTTACCTTTTACATCAAAATGACACAGAACCAACTCTCTCTATAGGAAACAACATTCCAACAGAAGAGTCACAAAGGCTACAAAGTATAATTGTATCAATGGTGTTTAAAATGACGTTACATGTTGTTGTTTTTTTTTAAGAACTTTGGTTTTCAATAGTCACTACACAAAGGCTTCATGTACACAAGTACACAACAAAGTGGTAAAATGTGATCGTGGATATTAAAAGGTTTTAGTCATTGAAAAAAAAACATTTAAGGTTCTAAAAGGTTGTCAAACGAAAGACATCTACTAAAGGGCTACACGTGCACTGGTGAACTTCTGTGCATTTGCAGGTCCCTGAGCGATTCCTCGAGGTCACCGAGATCACACTCAGAGAGTTTTACTTTGCCATTTCAACGGGAAAAGATCAGGATCCCTCCTGGAAGAAGGCAATTTACAAAGTCATCTGTAAACTGGACGGCCAGCTACCAGCTGGATTCAATCGAGATCACCGCAAGTAAAAGCCAAAGGGACGATGGACTTCAACCAGTTTGGGATTTGAACCATTTTGTCTAACTGTCAAATTAGACAAAAATAAATATCTGCACGTCTGCAGTGTTTTCTTATCTGGCAGACTGTCTTTGACACAGTTTGACATATGTATTTTGCATATCAACCACATAATATAGCAAAACACATAGGCATAATACGACAGAAACAGCACAACAGAATTAAGTACTGCACACAACAAGTAACAATATCTTTAATAATGTTCACGGTGATCGTATATACAGGGTGTGAAGCAAACAACATTTCATAGAAATGAAGATCGATCATCAGTCTTTACAATACCAATACATGTCCCTTCTATACTCACCAGTGGATCCACTTGTACATCTTCCATCTCCTCCAGTAGTTCACTCTCCATGGACACAGCTGGGATGTCGGTGTCTTCGTCAGCCATGTTTTGACTTGTTAAAATGGTTGCTCAAATCTTCATTGTTGGATTTCCCAGTACAACATTTCCCTCTTCTGTCTTTTTCTCAAAATCCTGGCTTGCCTTGGTTTGTCAAGTGTCACTGTATTAGATGTGAGACTCGTCCTGTAAACGCATTGTGTTAAACTTCCATTCATTTCAATACTGGCATTGAACTACACTGAATTTGTTATATTGGTTAACCTGCAGTAGGCACATTTTGCAATTTGCAGTTTTTTTAGGAGTAGTAGTAGTAGAGTAGTAGAGAACAAAATGTTTTGTCGCAAAGGATTTTACTGAATATCAATCTGCTGCAATAACAATTCAAAGATCTTTATAATGGAAATAAAGCAAACTAAAGTTAGATCTTTATAATGGAAATAAAGCAAACGATTTATCATTCAAGAGACCAGGAGTGACCAGCTGTCAGTCTTGTGGTGCACTGAAACAACAGATATACTGGTGTCTGAAAATGACAACCTCTAAACCTGAAGAAAAAAAAATGACAACCACTCAGCCCCAAATTGTCAATCAGGTTAGACAGTTTTAGGCGCAGGTCTGGTTATCAGGTTAGACAGGTTAGACAGTTTTAGGCGCAGGTCTATACTGGATTTGAGTTCATGTGAATGTGCAGACACGGTGGTGTGGTGGAGTGTTTGTCTGCAGAATACAGCACATTACGAGAAAAGTCTGTTCCTGTTTATTTTACCACTGGTTGTGGTAAGTTAATAAGGTGTTGGGGTAACAGTCATACTGCTAATGGTAATGAAGCACAATCCATCACCACCAGAAATGAACTAGTCTATGGTTTTAGATTTGAAAACTGTCTGAGACCTTCTCTCTGAGGCAGAGCAGGTTTGGTCCAGACCAATGTTTAGGTCCACAGACCTAACCGTGGGCATCAACACCATGACAGGCGGTCTGAGCACACACCTGAATTTACATTTGCTCATGTAAATACAACAAGCACACACAGGCTTATATTCACATCAATTATCAAGTGTCTCTTTTGACTTTAGACTGGGAGCCAAGTCTGTCCATTTGAGAACCTAATTGTACAGTGAGGTGCAAGAGTGTAGTCACTGAAGGCAAGTCTGAAAAAACTCAAGTAGAGTTAGCACAGTTGACACAAGGCATTGTGTTTGACATGGTTAAAAAAATAAAAGTTTTCTCTATTTTTGACCAAAGGGAACCAGAGGTAATGATGGATTTTTACTATTATGGTCTGTCCTGTGCTGTGCATTATTGCGTGAAGGATGCAGACCTCACAGCGTGACTAAATACAGAGTTCTCTGAACAGTCACTGATTGCAGCGGAAACACACACACATTTACTGGTAAATAGTTGTGGTATTAGCTCAAGTGAAATGTTTATAAAAATGAATTAATTCATCAACAATTCAGACGTACAAAACTGTCAATGGCTACAGCCAGATGCTAGTTTCAAATGTTTCACACCGACTTGTACAAAGAATTAAAATGTGGACATAGACAGGGAAGCAGGCAAACATCCCGAGTGTCCTGTTGCTGTTTATTTTCCTTAGTGTAACTATAAACACAACAACTAGTAACAGCAGAGCTACAAGGCAAGAGTGGAAGAAATACTTTTTAGCTGAAATGATTTGTTCACTCACAGTTCTGGGAGGAAAACTTGTGGTTGATGTCTGACAGACGGTCACGGCCTTCAGGGAATATGCAGAGTTGCTGACTGTGTTTTTTTTCCTTAAAATTTTATTGTCTTTTTTCCAAGTAAGCACTGATCCAAAAACAGTGCCACAGGTACAGAGTAAATAGAACATTAGGACGTATAAAATAGAAAAAAAAGAAGAATGAATATAGATAATATAATGAGAAGCAACAAAAAAGTCATAGTCTACAAATGAATGAGTGACAGTTGATAGTTTTCTGTGGTTGCGACAGTAATATCTTCAGGTGAATATCACCTCTGTTAGTCTTCATCTATGGTGACACGTTTCACATTGGAGGCTCCTGTAGGAAAAACGGAAATGACTGATGATTTGGTCAAAATGGCATTAAATTAATTAAAACAATTTTCAGTTATTCTGCTGTGAGTCTTATCTCTACACTTTACACACAAAAAATGTCAAAAACACAACACAAACACTGTTTTATTGCACTAATAAATATATATAAATTTAAATATCCGAGGTAGCATCTATTTGTTTTGTTTAGTTTAAATGAAATTCAATTTAAAGAAACGACTTGCTAAGCAATTACGACGTGACAGAAACATATCTGTAACAGAGCTGTATGAAGGTTGTTACTCTTAGTCAAATTTACCTGAGATCATGACAAGAAATCAAATCAAATTTCTTTTTCAGCTTTTTAGCTAATATACATGGCTTGGTATTTATCAATATTCAACAGATAAACATTTCTAAGAAACAGTTATTACTTTTAACATTACATTTGTATTAAAAGTTGGGAAACAAACCTACCTTTCAATGGAGAACAAAAGCAGGAATAATCAATTTTCTTCTTAGAAATATTTGGTACGGTTGAGAGCTCTTTGTGCCAGCTTGCCGCTCTCGTCCGTTATTCTCTCCCAGTCTGTTTGACCCACCACAAACCCGATAGCGCGCTTGCGATCTGCATCCTTTTGCTCTTCGAGATCAGCCCATCGGACCTTTAAAAAAACCCATCCCGCAGTCATTTTAGCAGCACTAATTCAGCATTCATCAAGTGAGCTGAGAGCTATGAACTCAAACCAAGGCACAGAAACACTACATTTGAACTATCCAATGAAAATGACAGTTTCACACGTCAATTATCACTTGGTTACCCTTTTCTTTCCTGGTTGAGACAGCCGTGTGGCATAGTCATCGGGCAGCTGAAGATAGTCCTCCAGATCTGCCATGTCACCGTCTCTCTTTCTCTTCCCACTGCTGCCCAGACCATCCAACTTGTCTGTGTAAATGAAAGTTTAACTGCTCAGGTCACATTTGCACCAAGCCACTATAAACTTTGACTTAATTAAAAAAAAAAAACAACAACACCAAACTACTAATCCCTGAATCAATAAACTAAACATGAAGACTGAAATATGGGTGAAGTCTGCAAACAAACATCACTGTGATTCACTGATGGACTATTGCTTTAACATCCCATCTGTCAATGAAGCACACTCAACATATGGAACAGATTTTGAATCACGTGATGAAATGACAGAACACACACCAGTGATGTTATCAGACAGAACTTAGCGTCTATAAACAAATAACTAGTTGTGAATAATAGTAAATGAAATACCCACCGAGTTTTGCCTCCGACGTGTCCATCTCCCATTTGCTTTTTGGAATGTAGCCCTATATTATATAAAGAAACACTTCAGTGGTTAAACATTTGAATAACACATGGAGGACAGGGAAGTGAGGAAAAGCACATGGCTGTAATGAGAGGAGACGGGTTTATCAGAGACATCTGAGTAATAAACACACAAGAGGTTAACCTGTTAGGACATGGTGAAAGATGCACGTTTCCGGGTTGCAAGTTTTGAAGGTTAATAGTTTCGGATTTTGTTCTACGGGGCCAACCAACCTCGAGGTTAAAAAAGAAAAATAAGAGCCAAGCGTTTAACACGTGTCAGCTTATATAATTATTTCATGTTTCCCCATTTTTTCATGAAGTATGAAGAAGCAGACGCTGCTGAAACAGTTGCATTAACTGCAGGTCAAGCTAGTTCGTTCAGACAGATTCAACCCATCATTAGCTGTCAAGCTGTACTCTTGATATAATCTGGCAGCCCGGCCAGATGGCAGTCCGATCTCAGAACAAATATAAAAATAAAACATTTAAACAAAGGCACATTGTTCTTGGAAGACAATGGGTCAATTGTTCATGTTGAAATCTTCAGAGCTAAAAAATAAGGTCAAAACAAAAAGAGGACATAAAGGACAAATAATTGCTGTTATGCTAATGTTGAAACAAAAGAGAAAAAAGCACTCAGAAGTAACGAGTGGCAGAAAAGTACATGAGGCTAGTGTAGAATGTGTATGAGGACAGTACGGCTGTGACAACATGGGCGATGGCCCTTATACTTTGGCACAACGTGTATTTAAAGTTGCAATTTCTTGAATGTAGTAGTCGACACCTTGACAGATGACACGTGGGTTCACGCGCAATAATTTTAGCACACGACATTTTAACATTGCAATGTTTTTAGCCAACGCAAGATAGAATACACGTGTGAATGAGAGTGACACTGGTAGATGAAATGTTTGAAACAAGTATCAAATTAGTGGCAGAATTGCAACATTGGGATGGTATATCAAGGCAGGAGTGAAAGCTACTGTACAGAACAGTCTGGAGACAGTGGGACTGTCACTGAGTCAAGACGCTACACAGGAGTTGGCTGAGATTTGATGAGTCAGGGATGGGTTAAGACGATGGCAGATTATCTGTGTGGGGACCTGAACCACAACACACATTCACAGACTGCAATGATGACACTGTCACTCAAGTGTCAAATGATAGTCTATTGATGATTACAAGAACATGATACATTTGAGGTTGAAGGTATGAAGATTTAAGATTTTAAAATTAAAGATTTCAGTGAAAGCTACTATTCTTTAGTGTCAATGTAATAAACATTTTAAACATGTTTTTTTCCTAAAAAGTAATAATTTAAAACACAACAAGATAAAATCATTAAATAACAAACTACTATCAAATTATAGAGAACTATAAATACATTTTTTTAAAACACAAATTCTGCAAAACACCCAAAATGTTGTTACTGAACTACTGAGTTAATTCCTATCCTTTTTTCAAGCTTTTGTCACTTACAAATTAGTTGATGCTTCACAAGGATAATTATTATAAATAAATAAAATTGTCTAAATTACAACATTTTCACTGCATTCCCAGTAAGAGTTCTAAATGTTTTTCCAATGACCACCAAAGCAAACAAAACAACTAAGCTCCTGCTGGAGTGACAAACAAAACACACATTAACAAAACAGTTTCTTTTTTGCTTTACTTTGGAAAACGTAATACAAGAGCGCCACGTTGTTAGTTGAGTTCACTGGTGACTGCTATTGAACATTCAAACACTGCAGAGAGAGATGCTCTCACAGTTTGATTTGACACAGTATCATGTCTGTGTACTGAGTAATGTAACGGCTGCAACCACCAGAGACAGACTGACAAGGTCTGCTTTACAGGTAAAACTGTTAATGAAAACAAAAGAAAATGTAGGTTTTGTGGAAACACGCTGTGTAAAACTGCAGTGGGAACTGCATAATAACTGTGTCTTGTATTCACTTTTATACTGTCTTTTTTGTCCTTTCTGCTAATTATAAAAAAAAGAGTATAGAGAGCATCGTGTGAGTTTATCTGTTAAATTGGAACATGTTTATGACGAGACAGTTTTATGTATACATATATGTACACATATATATACATATATACAGTATGTATATGTATATGTATTAACATACGAGACTTGTTGTGGATCAGATTAAACTCGTATCTTGAAGCCCCACTGTACTGTCTAATGTCACAACTTTGTTTAATACAGAAATATGTTTCAGTATGGCTTGATTTTGCCTTCTGTGAAGAAGAAAATAAATGAGATTTTCCAGGTTAGTGTCCACCCACTGCAGATCACCTTATTACCAACAGCGTCGTGCTCTTTTTAAGAAGCCATGACTTGGGGTTGTTTTGTATTTGAAGAACACAAGTGAGACACCTCACTGTTATGTAATGTTACCTTCGGTTTGCACTGTATTTGCTGTTCAAATCATTGAGGATGAAGTATTCGCACCAGGTAGTAAAAATCTTGCAGTTAAACAGACTGGATATTGGAAATACAAAAAAGGAATAATGATTTTGGTTTTTTTTTGCATTTTGTGATGAGTTTTTATGTATTAATTATACATACAATATACAAGCTATGATTTGTTGGAGACATTCTTTCTACCACAGCAAAAAAAAAAAAAGTTTGAACAGAATGATTTAGCCTTAACCAAAGCACACACACGTGTGCTTTGGTTAAGGTGTGGACACTCATTTAGAGAATATGGACTTAAAAGCTAGATAGCGAACTGCATTTTTAATAATTAATTAAGCCTATTTCTCTTCATAGAAAAACAAACTGATCAAATCAAACAAAACAAGGTGGAATAACTAATATCTAAACACTGTTTAATAGGACGCAGATGGGAAAACAAATAAGTGGAAATCTGAAAACTATGTTGAAATAAGTTTGAACTTTTCATGTCCTACCAGATCACTCTCCTCCTCCTCCTCCTTCTTGGGTTCTGCAAGCTCTTCATCTGGATTGAAGTCTTCCATTTCGACCTGACAACAAAAGCAGTTGTTTCCTGGTTAATGCCAGTGAGGGGCGATGTTTTGAGGACAGCGTGTGTTTATGTTTCAGTGCTGGAGACCTCACCTCCTCTATAGCAGCATCCTGAAGGAGGGACCGAACATCTAGGCGCACCATGTGCCGCGGTGAAGGCTCCCAACTGCTGGACATCTGCATAAAAAAAGGCTTTGTTAACAAGTGTCAGCTTTGAACACTTTCTTTGGAATAAACACAATTAAAATGCATCAATGAAGCCAGCTGAACGTGCAAACCTTTGTAATTTCCTTGAGCGTACGCCCGTGAACATTCCTTTTAGCACAAGTCTGAGTGTCTGCAGTCATTTCAGCCAGATACACCTTTGGGAGAAAGAGGGAAAAAAGTATTAGAGCTTAGGCAAACAAAAATCACACATTGGTCAGTCCTACCAGAGAACATAACCCACCTCAAAGCCTTTTGTTTTGGCTGCACTCCAGAACTGATCAAAATGTTTAACCCTGTCATTAACAGAGTCCAAAATGATGAAGGGGAAAAAGCCGTCATCCAGAGTTTTTTTGAAGGTTTTCAGCATGCTGTTACGGTAAGTGTCCTCCATCTCTGGCTCGTACTCGTACTCTAGAACCTGCAATACAAATGTTTGTTTGGCTCAAGCTGTACTGTACTGTACTCTACGCTTTTCTTTATTTTGAAAACTCACCTTGGTTTTAATTCTCCTGCCGGTATCTGGGTCTTTCTCTACTTTTTCAACCTCTGTCATGAAATAGTCATCCAGAACCAGAACCCTTGGAGGGGCGCCACCACATTCCACTTCTTTGTCCTTAATATCGTAAATAAAGGAGTCAATAAAAAGCTGTATTTTTAATTTATAATAAAAAGTAATAAAAATAAAATAAAAAGCTGTATTTTTAATTTATAACAATTCTAACATCTCTATGAGTTCTGTAGCAACCTTCGAATATGATCACAGATATAAATCTACTTACTCGTATAAGCTTCGCGACATGGCTTTTCCCACTTCCTGGAAGTCCTCTCAGTATAATGACAATCTGTTTGGGACAGGTGTATAATTAGGCTAAAGGTATATGTTTCTTACATTAGGTGAAGTTGGAACATTGATTATTGGTGTACCCTCTCAGGGCGAGACTGCCTGCCAGGTTGCTTGAGGATGTCGTCGATATTCTTTATCTCTGGCTTCTTCTCCACTCGTGGGGCAGGCTGAGGTGGAGGAGGCAGAGGGGGAGGGATTGCAGGCCCCCGGTCCTCATGATAACTTCGCCTGTCCACTGTGTATGCAAATTAATTGCACATTATGGATTTAAATTTTAATGGAAATATCTTACCAAATACGAAGGCACCTGGCCTTTAGTTTAACGGATAAAGAAACAGACATACTCAGTGGTGATGAAGTGTGGGGGTAACGTTCAGGTGCGCTGCGGTCAAGTCCAGAGCGCTCGTATGGAGGTCTGTCGTAGCCAGGCCTTCTGTAAGGATCATCAATTCGATCTCGGCTACCGCTGCGGTCACGATCGCGAGAATCCCACTCGCTTTCCCTGTATCCTGGCCGAAGGGGAGGCCTGTAAAGAGAAAGAGTAAATTTAAGGTTCAACAACTCCGGACTTTTTTTTGTTTTTAACTCTTGGCACACACTAATGACTTATCCCGGTGCTTGGCACAATGTCATTAAGTACCTGTTGTCCACCATGGACTGTGTGCTTGGATTAAAAACAGGAGAAATAACATTTTATCATACATTTTATGGAAGCAGCACAAACACATTGGGGAAAAGAAGGCAAATGCATTACCTGTCCTCTCTTTCTCTTGGAGGATAGCGCTCCCTATCAAATCGCTCTCTTTCGTAATCAGGTGGAAGTTTTTCTCTGTAAAGTTCCCTTTCTCTGCTGTACTCCCGACGCTCCATATAGGGATCTCCTCGTCTTTCATAGTAAGGGTCTCTGCTGTAAGGATCTCTTAAAGCTTCTAGAGGACGGGGGTTAAAATGAATTATTTAAACATTGAAATACACAGAGGGAATGTATATCTGATGAAATTACGATTTACAGTTCTGTATGTCACCTTTTTCATAACCTCGGTCGGACGGCACTGGGTCAGGCCTTAGTACTATCCTCTCGCCATAAGAGATCCGCTCAACAGTTGTACCAGATTCTAAAGTTAAATTAAATTTCTGTGAGAACTGAGTATGAACTTAAAAGGTTTACCTGGTAAAGTCATTTTTTTTCTCTTTGCTGCTCATACCATGTCCGTGTGCATAATCCAGAGTCTTTGGGATCACTGTGGGTGGAGCTTGGACAGTTGAACTGTAGTCTTTCAAAGGGGGTTTTAAATCCCAAGACGCAGGTTCAGCTGTGGGTGTTTGTACTGCTGCTGCACTCATGCCCTGAGGATGGTACAGGAATTCAACTCTTTCTGCTTTTAAACATTATATGATATATATATATATATATATACATATATATATATATAAAACACTTATAGCAATGCATTTTAAAAATGAAGGTTTAGGAAAATAAAGAATCATCTCTTGCCTTTAATACATTCCTGACATCTTGTGGGATCTCTAAACCAAGAAGGCCAGCAGGAAGCTCAGGCAAGGTTTTTGAAGGCTGAGGTTCAGGGCCAGGAGTCTTCCCTTCCTGCATTTCTCTGTAACACCCCACCCAAATATAAAGGTAAAGTTAATGTAAGGTCAACTTCTTTTTCCAGGCAGAAAACCTGGAAGAACATGGTGCTGACTTGAAGCTGAATCATAATGCAATTCTATGAACCCAGAATGATCAAGTAGTAGTCTCAAGATTACCTTATAAGTTTAAGCTCCTGGGCAGCTTTCAAGATAATCTCATGCTGACGTTGGGAAAGAGCAAGTACATTCCCTGAATTTGTTCCTTGTGACTTTTCAACTGAGCTCTCTGGTAAGTTTGTGCCAGGAGTAAGTGGGAATGATTGAAGTTTATCCAAAGGAGGTTCACCCCTGTGCTCATAGCAAGGTCTGCCATCTTCATAGTCTCTCTCTGGCAGAGGAGCATGTCTCGTTGGCCTATCCCATTCTGAAGGTTGTGCTGAAGGTGGATATGGCGGCTCATCCCGGTATTCACGAATTCTAAGTTCTGCCCGTTCCCTGTCTCGCTCATCATAGGGATAGGGATGGTCTTTTTCTCTTTCCTCTCGCCAGGGACCATCCCCATAAGCCTCTGGTGGACGGTGAGGAAAGTCTCTCTCTGGTAAAGCATAGCCTCTCTCTCTATCGTAGTGCTCAGGATCACGGTGATAGCCATCAGGAGGATAATCTAGTGGTGGCCGGTGCCGATACCCATCTTCTCCATGACTAAAATCGTCAACAAAACCTTCTCTATATCCCTCTTTAAATGCCTCATGTTCTGGACCAGGGCGCCATAATCCCCCTCTTGCCATTTCTCGGCCCACAGGTCTCCTCCTTATTCCACCTCTGTTGGGTGGAGGTGGAGGATGTCCTCTGCCATGTGGTGGTTGCCACTCTCTCTTCGTTTCGTCATTATAGAACTGCTCGTCCATAGTCTCAATTATTTCATGAGGTGGTGGTGGTATGCGACGCCTTCCTCCTGCTACATCTGGATGCATTGGAAGACTGTGGGGGTCGTGCACTGGATGTCCCTCTGGATCGGTTTCAATATTACCTGAATACTGATGCTCCATTAACCCATGGTCTACTGGACCATGCAGCGGGTGAGGAGGACGTCCTCGCCCTCGCATAAAAGCAGGATGACCAGGCGGGGGGCGTCGCTGACCAGGTGGAAATGGAGGTCTCATTCCCCTCACTGGAGGTCTCACCTCTTCCCAGTAAGTTTCATTTTGTTCATAGTATTCACTGGATTGTGGATCTTCCCAGTGCATGTCATGGGGTTCACCTCTTCCCATAGGCAGTCCTCCCCTACCAATGGAGGGTCCACCCCTTCCCATAGGTGGACCGCCTCTAGCCATAAGTAGACCGCCTCGTGGCATCGGTGGACCGCCTCGTACCATAGGTGGACCACCTCGCGGCATAGGGGGCCCCCCCCTTCCCAAGGGGGGCCCCCCTTTTAGCCATAAGTAGACCGCCTCGTGGCATCGGTGGACCGCCTCGTACCATAGGTGGACCACCTCGCGGCATAGGGGGCCCCCCCCTTCCCAAGGGGGGCCCCGCCTTTAGCCATAAGTAGACCGCCTCGTGGCATCGGTGGACCGCCTCGTACCATAGGTGGACCACCTCGCGGCATAGGGGGCCCCCCCCTTCCCAAGGGGGGCCCCGCCTTTAGCCATAAGTAGACCGCCTCGTGGCATGGGTGGACCGCCTCGTGGCATGGGTGGACCGCCTCGTGCCATAGGTGGACCACCTCGTGGCATAGGTGGCCCTCCTCTTGCCATAGGTGGCCCTCCTCTCATCATTGAAATTCCCCCTCTTATCATTTGGGGACTACCTCTCATTGATGGGTGACCGCCTCTCATCATTGGAGGCCCTCCTCTTGTCATTGGAGGCCGCCCTCTCATGAATGGGTGGCCTCCTCTACCCATTGGTGGTCCTCCTCTTGACTCCTCATAATACTCTTCCTCTGGAGGGTAGTAATTGTCTTCTGGCATCCACATTTCTTCAGTGGGTTCCTCAGATTCTTCACACCCATACTCCTCATAGGAAGGATCTTGCCAATAATAGTCTTGCTGCTCCTCTGACATTACCATGTCCTCCTCAGGTGGCTGATAACCATAGGATGTTTCTTCTGTGTCTTTTCCATGGCTCATTGTATTTCCTCTGAAGTCTCCATGACCTCTTTGGCCACGTCCTCGTCCGCGCATCTCTGCAGGCCCTGGAGGCTGTCCTCGTCCCCTTCCAGAGCCTGTCCTCATAGGATCAGGGCTCAGATAAATTTCGACAGGTTTTTTGGGGCTTTGGGCTTCGAGAGGGATTCCGATTGCTGGAGGCTTTTTGTTAGTCTCTGTATCATCTGGTTTGACCGGCTTGTTGACTGGACTTGATAATGACTTCACAGAGGATATAGCATTAGTTGAAGAACTGCTATTAGGAGGTTTGGAAGTTACACTTTTATCAGGAACACCGTCAGCACTTGAATTCTTCTCTTTCTCGTTTGCACCTGCTGTCTGGGGAATCGGGTCATTTTGAAGAAAAAATCCTTCATTTACCAGCAAGTTATCATTGGTCAAGTCATCTGACCCAGTCTTAACATCTGGTCCTGAGTTTTTTTTCTCTTTTTCAGGTTTTAGTTGCACATCTGGTTTACCTGGAGTGTTAATGTCGATGCTTGCAGCTTGCTTAGTTTCAATTTCTGGTTTATGTTGGTGACTTGGTTGCGGTTTTTGTTGGGGTACAGGTGGGTGTTCAAAATTAGGTGGAGGGCCAGAATGTCGCTGAAACTGTTCATGTCTGGACTGCTGTCCAAAAGGAGGTTGTTCAAATCTCTGGGGACCATCAAAGCGCTGTCTTGGTTGGTCAAATCTTGGTGGACCCTCAAAGCGCTGCCCTGGTTGGTTGAACCTTGTGGGACCATCAAAACGTTGCGGTGGTTGGTCAAATCGAGGGGGACCATTAAAACGTGGTGGTTGGTCAAATCTGGGGGGTCCATCAAAATGGTGCTGTGGCAGGTGAAACCTTGGAGGGCGCTCAGACTGTTGCTGTGGTTGGTCAAACCGTGGAGGACCATCAAATTGCTGTTGGTCAAACCTGGGGTTGTTTCCACTAGGAGCAGAAGGAGAAAACAACATGATTTATGCTACATATCTATATAACACATAGATATTAACACTAGACCAGGTTGTAAATGTAACAAATATATAATTAAATATAAATTGCACCTGTGGCAGTGGATGATATATTTCCTGCAACTGACTTTTACCAAGTTTAATTCTGTATAGTCTTATAAAGACTTATTGAAAGAAACTTGTACAAACCTTAGACCTTGAACATTATTATAGCTTGGAGGGGGACAAGGAGGAGGGCCTGGAGGTCTGTCCGCCATGCCAGCTGGAGTGTTACCTCTCACAGGTAAAGCTGAGGATTCTGAAGAGGGCCCGAACACAGGTGGTTGTGAACCTTGAGAGCTGGGGCCAAGTGCCCCTACAGGATTCTGTACAGCCGGCTGCTGGTTGATTCGATTTTCGTGTCCTGGATACTGGCTGTATTTTCCCATTGTCCCACTGTTATATTGTCCTGGGGGAAACTGCACCATAGGAGTTAGAGCGGTCACCCTTTCTTGAAGATGGGCTTTTGTTGCATTCATTTGCTCCTGCCACTGTTTCCACTGTAGTTCATAATCTTTCAGTTGGTCTTTGTGGGGATAGGTCTGGAACTGCCCATACCACAGGGCAAATGAATGTTCCCAATTTTGAAACAAAGGTGTAAAATGCTGCTGCTGCATTTCATAGTGTCTCAGTTGCATTTCAGTAGACATGGACTGTAAGCAAAGAAAATAATTGGATGAGCCAAATTATCTTTATAGAAGAAAGTAAGCAATTGTATGATAAACAGAAATTCCAGCACCCAAACATTGCAAGAAGTCAAACCATGGATTTATTTTGGGAGCTACCAAAAAGACTATAATTACTTACCTGAGTGTCAACCGTTTGCTGAATAAGCTGTTGATATTGTTCCAAAATCTTTTGCAGCTTTTCATGGTGCTGCATTAGAGCCTGGTATTGTAACCCCACTCTCTGTTGTTGCACTTGCTGCCACTGTGCTGCAGCTACTTGTAACTGCTGAAGCCGCGCAGCCTCCACAGAGTCTTGTGGAACATCAGACTAAACAGAAAAAAAGGCAAAGACTTCACTCTGAAAATGTATGCCAACAATATTGAAAATATATATAAAAAAAACCTGATTTGGTATGGAATGCTTACCTTTGTTTCATCAGGTGGCGGGGGAGGGCCAGGAAGCTCGTCTTTTGGAGGTGGTGGAGGTGGTTTGCCTTTTGGAGAGTCAGGTGGAGGAAGTGGAGGCCCAGTTAGGCCTGGTGATTGTGTCATTATAGAACCACTGCTTTGACTCTGTTTGGCTTTTTCTTGCTTTAACTTCTGCAGATTCTGAAGATGCTGCTTGTACCAACGTTGCTGTTGTTCCTGGATCAACAAAGGGGTGTGCTGTTATGACTTTTATTTATGGACATTATAAATGTGCAAGCCTGTAATAGGTTTAGCCAGATAGTTTTTAACATCATGACAAATCTTTGCATTGTCTAATTATTTATAATGGTTATAACAGTTTATAAACACTTTGCAGTGGGATACGCTCCACTCTCACTTTTTACTGTGATGGGCAGCTGTAGTCAGAAAGACATCAGATTTTCTAGTACACAAGAGAGCAAATTGAGCATAAGGACACAGGATGACTAACTATTCAGCACAGACTTGTGATGTTGAAAACAAATCCACCTTTCTGGAATTTTACTCATTTTTAAGATATGTTTCTGGGTCAGTGAGGTTAAAGTTCATGCCTTAGACTGGAAGGAAATATGAACTTTCTAGGTACCTTAATATTTCTCTTAAAATTAGTGATTCACATCTATCAATAGCAAGATTTTTTGTTAATCTGGAATTTATGTGGTCTTTATGTGTTGAAAGTTGTTGCCATGTACACACAATATTGCTGTATGCCACTAAACAAATTTACAGCCATTTGTTGTCATTTTCTGTAAAAGACCACCTGTAAAACCATGTGATGTGTCCACTTATTTAAACTGTCACCATGGCATTGTATTTTATTATTAAGCTGTAATTATGACATGGGAATGATGTCTTAAAGAATCGTACCACAAATGGTAGTAGCACTTTACCTGGAGAGCTAGCGATTTGTCTTCTCCTGTGGCAGACTGATCATTCTTGTCTGAATCTGGTAGTTTGGGTGCATTTTTATTCTCCGGTGGCTTTGACGAAACGGACTCAGGAGGTGGAGGTTGGGGCTCAGACTGAAGCGGCTGAGGAGGAGGCGGGGGAGGCTGTTGTTGACCAGGAGGTGTAGTCGTCGGGGTCTCTTGTTTGTAAAAGGGCTGTACAGCTTCACCTGAATTGTCTACAGATCCCGAGCCCCCTGGTTGCCATGGCGAGCCCGTGTACCCAGCGCCATAAGCACCGGCGGAGTTTCCATGGTGCAAAACGGACTGGAGCTGTTTCTGGTGCAGCATCTGAAGCTGCTGCATCTGCTGAAGGTGCTGCTCCTGAAGGCTAGAAAACAGCGAGCCACTCGATGGGGCTTCGAAGCCGCCGAATCCCCCAGCCGGGTTGACACCCGGCGGCTTACGTGCTCCGGGTCCTCCATAATTTTGCGAATACTGTCCAGGATAGTTTCCCCAAGAGGGGTACATTGTTAAAAAACGACGCGCTGTGTTTGGCCTTTGTGCTCACATACACCAGAGCGTTAGTTAGCCGCTAGAGCTAACAGCTAACATTGACCTAACTTCAATAAAATTAGCAGCTATGTTTCCATTCCATATCCAGTACTGTTCACATAGGGAAAATAGGAAATACATTACAATTCGAGTCGCATATCGTGACGACCATCCGGATTAAGTATGAAAACTGAGACTTGTATATGAAACGCCTTCGTTCGGCGGCCGAGGCACGTCGCCGGTAGCGGATACACGTCATACATGTCAGTTGACCGCTTCCGTTGATGGTAAAAAGCAATAATTCTGGTTCCACACTGAGAAACAAATTAATTTCTTCTTTTCGCAATTCTCCTTTGGTTCTTAAACTCAACGAACCATGGAAGTGAAGGCATGTCTAAATACAAATATAAGAGTGAATAAAGTGGTCACATTAAAGGCAGTAACCCTAACTACAATAAAGCCATGTTCTTGCGTTCTTTTATTTTGTCTTTCTTTAAATTCACCATGCCCAAAAACTATTTGTTATTTTACAACTGAATGGAAGTGAAAATGCAATTCTGCACTTGTTTTTTAGGTAGATTATATCACATTCTCAAATAAAAATATCCCCAGTAAGAAATTATTATTTGATCAAGGTTGTAAAAGCATTGGTCAATTTTTTGTCAGTTTGCCGGAGACGTTGGACCTTGCGCGTATCTACAGGCCTTTTGCTAAACCGATTTGGCAGAGCGTAACAATGATATCTAGCTTTGTCTGTAATTCACCACTAGAGGGAGACATTTACAAAGACATTTGTTCTCCCCATGACAACATTAATGGGAACAACAATCTGTAACTGGTATTTCCTTACAACTAACACTGGACTTTACATAAACGTTTTAGACAAAATTCCATTGCCTTCATTTATTAACAATCGTTTGCTAATAACTATATTATGTGCACTGTAGTAGATGGATCTCCAGTGTCTGTATTTATGATTCATACTCAAGTTTATTCGTCATGATCAAGGGAATCAGCTGCGTTCAGAATGTGTGAGAGTGGGAGACACAACACTGAGAGGTAAAAGACCGCTGACTTTTGGTTGCCCTTGAGGCCTGATACAGACAAGAGTATTTTTGTCTTAAGATCACCAGTAAATCTGTATTAATTTTGACCAGAACCACTTAAAAAGAATCGTTAAAGCGGATTAATCAAGCCCGTCCTGTTTAATGTCTCCCGTTAATTAGTTTGTCAGCAGTGTTTTAATATCGCCTAATGACTTCATATTTCACTGATGACATTAAAGGGGTGTTAAAAGAGGGGAAATGGCCCATTCAGGCTTCAGTTCTTTCACTTAAGACGCCCTCGATGAATACGGCAAGGTCAAGGAGGCCTAGCCTTTAGGGAGAGATACATTATCAGGGGACGGGGGTGAGGAAATCCCATCGAGGAAGCTCTCTCCCCTCTAAAATAGCATGACGGGCACAATGTGATACAGTTCTGTCTCCAAACAACATACACTGCTCAGGGAATTCATGGTACAGCTTAGCAGAGCCACAATATATAAGACTCCAGATTAGACCCAACGTTGTTGTGTTTGTTTATTATTTATAATCTAAATCATCAATATCTGTGTCGAAACCACCTTTAGTGTTGCTTTTATTTGCTAGCTTGTTACGTCAATATTTCCACAGTTGACCTCTTGCCACAGTGGAAAAATAAGATTGATTTCATATGAATTTAATTACTGTTCTTATAGATTATAGTTTGTTCTGTTTTCTCTGTCTGTCTGTTGGCTGCAGAGAAAAAATTCTGGACGATAAAATCGAACTTGAAATATATAACGCATATATAAAAATAATAAAATCTGAGAGACAACATAGGCAGCCTAATATTTTTAAACGCATTAGAAGTTTGCCCTTTACACTCCTGCATCAGCACTTTCCAAAGCCTCCTCTGAACAAGAACAAAGAAATCTGAAATCGTAAAGTTGTAGCTCACAGTATTGAGGACACTGCATTTTCCCTGTGATGAAAATCCTATGTTAAACAAAATGCTCAATGGACGCTAATGGATCCCGAACAAGTCCATGCACTGCTTCCAAAATGCTTTGTTTGACAAATCAATTTTCCCATAACCCGGTGAGGAGAAAAGTGATGCGGATTGATCGCCCCCCCTGACTTTGTTTCCTGAATATTGTTTGATGGCTGAATAGATTAATTGGTATGACATTTGAAAGCCTCCTCTCGACTGTCAGCACCGCAGCCTCTATACTTTAATCGAACCTCTGTCTAATTGTCTCTCCTATAATACCTCACTTCACAAATTAGGGACGCCGCCTCTGTAAACGACTCCCAATGTAAGATCCACACACCTGGCTCAATCAGAGCTGCTTCTGAACAGAGCTGATGCTGGGATGATAAGATGGAGCCTATTAAAGGGCATCACCCGAAACGCTGTGCAAGCACATCTCTGCTCTGTGCGCGGTGGATCCGAAATATACAAATCAAACCTCTGCAGCCGCTCAAAGTAAAGAGTTTTTACAGCTGGTCAGTCAAAAGCATTTTATTATAATTACATTGCAGAAACCTACAGGTTAAATATAGAGATTAAATAGTTTGTTAAGGTTAAAATATTAATAATATTATCAATTAATATTATATTAATTAATCTGATGTCTCCATAAAGTCGATGTCAAGTCATTTTCTCAATTTTTTTTCTTTATTTATAAATGATTACCACCATGTGAAAAAGGTAAACTTGGAAAAACAGTTGTTTTTCAGATTTGTGATAAAATAAACACAATGGCATACATTTAAAATGATTATGAAACCACAGAGTACAGTAAAAAGGAAGCAGAACACAAATTAAAATATGAAAAACAGAGTACAGTCAGAAATTCTCCAAAAGATTAGCCCTGTCAACATCTGTGCTCCAGTTTTATTTGTCTGCATCAAAACAGCTCTAGAATTCCTCCAGTCAGACTGTGATACAGAGGACCATCTGCCCCCCCTCCCACTTTTCATCACCATTTATTTATAATTCACAATGACTAATTACCTGACTTGACTTCAATTTTGTGGGCTGGGATCCTCACAGAGCGAGCAGCTCGGCCGCCCGCCTCCCTCCACTCTCCACTCCTCCCTATCACCCCAACACACCCACTTGCCTTTGAAAAACTGTAATTGAATGAGTTTATGTCGTCAAATTGATTAATCATATTAATTTGTACTTATTAGTGGGATGGTTCAAAGCGATGACAATTAGATTAATGAAATTAGTTAATTCTTCCTACTCTCACCCTCCTCCCAACTCCCACCAAAAAGAGAAGCACAGAAAGGGCGACGCATGACAAAATTGGCAATCAAGATTTGGTTGCTAATTGAATGTCTACTTTTATTAATGATGAGGTTTATGTGAAGACCTTGAGAGAAGAATATTAATTGATGAATCAAATTGTTCCCAATGGAAGAGGAAGTATACAGAGATCCATCACAACTGATTGTAATAACAGCTGCATTGTATTTGACTGAATACAAAAAAAGAAAAAGAAAATATTGGATAATGAAATAATAATACTCTACCACATGGAAATATGCTAAAATGTGTACAGAAAAACATATAGCCCAGTGGGGGGCGCTGCTTTGTTAACTGCTTTGAATAGTCTGGTTTGTAAGTGTGCTAGTTACAGTATATGATGCTATTGTTTAATAGAATAATATTCATACTGCCACCTACAGTAGCAGTAAAAGTAAGTAACAGTAGCCAAAACGAAAAAAGCCACAGCTAAAAACGTTAGCCTATGGATATGCTAATGTTGACCACATTTTAAGGCCATAAATATTTAAAGTCAACCATAGAAAAATTAACTCGCTCCTGACCAAGGAATAGGTCAAAGTTATCTTTTATATTATATTTAATGTTAGCTGAACGCTAAATCAGCTAAATCAACCAAAACATATATATATATATATAAATATATATATATATTTAAGTATACTTATTAAAGCAGAAGTGTGGGCTCTGTGGGTTTCATGTACAATCAAACCATCCAAAACTATTTATTGTGAAGTACCAATTGAACAAAATTCTGAAAACATTTGTTGACGTTTTGTGTATTTTGGACCACTGTATTAAAGGTGTACGTAGGACAGTGGGAGTCACTGGATCTGGCCTGATTAAAAAGTTAGCAGACTCAAGAATAAACGTCTTAATTTGTCAGTAAACCGTGGTGAGATGATGAAGAGGCTCCGTCATAATAAAACATTAAATGAACCAAGTCTTCTCCAGACTTAACAGTAGAGCACGGACCCTGTCTGACCACAGATCACTTCTCATGGAGCCACGTCCCAGTGGAAACACAGGCGTACATTCATCATGCCTGTTGTGAAAAATAAAATCCACATAAATATATGTAAATCTAAGTAAACAGAGTGTGGGATCCCTGGGGTCGATAGACTGCTTTGAATTTCAACGAGCCGTCTGACGGTTATAAACGATGCTTATGGAAAAGAAGTGATGGTTTGATATGATAAAGATGAAACGTAATAGTTTACAGCAGCATGGATCTGATTGTAACGTCCACACCATTAGAGTGGCTGATAAGAGCATTTATGACTATTGGCTCTGTGCGATAAAGTGAAGTGAGCTGTTTGATTAATAAGAGGAGCCCCAGGTTGAACACACTGTGTCCATGCATATGACTTACAGTAATGGGTCAGTATACATAGTAAAATGCCAATGTCACACACACACACACACACACACACACACGTGAGATAAGCAGAATTATGACAAACACACTGTGCACCTGCAGAGCGTCCTGGTTGATATGCAAGCTGTAAAAATTATGGGTGAGTAATGTTTTTGTTTTCCAGGGGAAAAAAATAAGCACTTCCAGGCCAGGATGTTATCTGTTGGTGTAAAAGAGCAAAACAAGTTTTTTTTTTTGCATTTAAACAAACTGATAAATCTGGTTTAAAGTTATGCTTTTAGAATGGATTATACAACACTGCTGCAGGTCAGGGCTGTGGCTCAGGCTTTTCTTTTACACTCGAAAAGTCCTTGTATATTAAAATTAATAATAATAGATAATACATTATTATTATTATTATTATTATTATTATTATTATTATGGTAAGGACAATACAAATACCTGTGTCCACGGAAGCTTAGTTCATTCTAAAATGTAAAACTCAAATATTTAATATATATTCAAAGTCACCATTTATTTGTTTTTTTTTAGACCTTGCCTGAAAAGAATTGGAGAGCTAGAGAAATGTCTGACTGAAAGGATCCAGACCTGTCCGTGCTGAATGTATTGACAGCTGTCAATGTTTGACTTGATCAGATGGTACCGCAGCAGTCAGAGGCCATCGGTGGTCCAGGCATCCTGGT